AAGCACAGGTGTAGCTCAGTGGTTCTGTTCTTGTCTATCAGGAAAAACAGCTTATCCCCTTTCACTCTTCATTCTGTCTCACTTAAGAGGAATTAACTGCTCTTGGAGGTCACTTGAGTGGAGAGAGCCATCCCCAGTGGCACAAAGAGGGATGCAGGAGGGATGCTCACTGTGGTCCCTCAGGATGATCAGGCTGAAGCAGCTGCTTCCATCCCCTAAAGCAGCTCATGCCACAGAGGGCTGGGAAAGGCTGAGACATGTTGTTGAATCTACCTGAATTTATCTTTTTTATTAATGAGGAACAACAAAAGGTTGGGACAATCCAAACTGAAACAATATATCATCCTGTTGCTTTTGCTATGTTTTCTGGTGCACCTTATCCTGACTTTTACAGAAGGAGGTGTTCAGATGAGCCATGCTGGTGAAGTAGGCACCTTTTGGTTTTAAGCATGTAATATTTTGTAGCCTGAAGCTTAGCTTGTTGCCGGTGAAATTTTTAGTTTCAATTAGCTGCTGATAATGATTATGGAAAGAAAATCAGAAAGTGTGGTATGGTAACACCTGAAAATGCAACAATTCCCCAACTCAGAGAGAGGAGAGTAACAGTAAGGTGGAAAGCATGGTATCAGGGCATAGCCTGTTAAACCCACCAGGTTTGTCCTGTAAGCCAAACACCAGCTGGTGAGTAAAGTGATTCAGTGGAAGCATGACTGAAATGGGAGCAACAGCATCTTCCCTGGGAGAAAGGAGGCAGTCAGAAGAGCAGTGGACACTTGCTGTGATGGTTTCAGGTTTTTTTCCATCTGTAGTGGATATTATTTTCTGTCAGTTGGAAATTTAATCCAACAGCAGCCTGTGCATGGTGGGGATATCAGTCTGACACCTGCACTGAGCAATGCCTCCTGTTCCTGAGCTTGGAAGGTGACCCTGAACACCTGGATCCAGGACAGTCCTCTCTAGGGTTTAGACTGTTGTTGAGCCTAGCTCTAGTGAGGTTGTCACCTGGCAGGAGCTTGCTGCTGCTGCTGCTGGGCAAAGGAGGAAATTTCAAGGCTCTTCTACCAAGACATTCATACAGAGATCTCCTCTGTCTGCTGGGTAAATGCCCCTCACACACTTGATGTTAGAAATGTGCTCTCTGCACTGTGCAGGCAAGATAAATGCAACCAACACATTTTAATCTTGACAGTCTTAGGTAACTTTTTTTCATTGATGTGGATTTTTAAGAAACTGCTGGGGAACCAGGTAGGTTAAAGCCCTGGCATTGCAGCTGGAGTCTCTCCTGAGCTCTTTAATTTGCACAAGGGTGCAGCTTCTCCCTGGAGCTGTGGGAGGAAACATCCATAGGAGCCTTGCTGATGGCCATCCATCCACATGGCTGCTCCAAGGTGGAGACTGTTTGTGTGAGGGATTTGTCCCTGGGTTTAATGTGTATACAGAATCACAGAATGGTTTGGGTTGAAAGGGACCTTAAAGCTCATCTAGTTCCACACTCCTTCCATGCCCAGGGACACTTTCCCCTATCCCAGGTTGCTCCAAGCCCCATCCAGCCTGGCCTTGAACGCTTCCAGGGATGGGGCAGCCACAGCTGCTCTGGGCAGCCTGTGCCAGGGCCTCACCACCCTCACAGGGAAGAATCTCTCCCTAAAATCCCCTCTGTCAGTGTGAAGCCATTCCCCCTTGTCCTGTCACTACATGCCCTGGTGCAGTACAGCCTGTCCTGGGAATATGGGCAGGCTGGGGCTCCACCAGGCTCCAGCTTGAGTCATATTTCATGTGAACATTGTCTGCAGCCTTTTTTCAAAAAGAACATCTGATTTTAAGAATTTGGTCTCTTACTTAGAGAGATCTGAAAAACTAATTTGATATTTAGGTGACAGCTGTGAAAGGAGTAGTGAGAAGGATGTGATGGATAAGGCTTTCCTTCAGACTGTGGTATACATTTGTTAGGATCCAGTTTAAACCCAGAAAAGTGAGGAAAGCGGAGTCTCTGTGTATAAACCACAAAGAACTTTGAAGGTTCAAAATATACCCAAAAACTAGATTAAAACCAAATGAGGCTAAATATTGGTGCCAAAAAATGGATGTATTTTTTATTTAATAGTAAAAGAGGCAGAAAAAGAAAGAGAGAAAAAGAAGTGGGGGGGGGGGGGGAGAGAGTGACAGGGGTTAGGTGGAACCATCACCCATCCAACAATGGGGTCCCAACAATGTCTTGTCTCATTTTGTCTGGTCTGTGGTGGTGTGGGTCCCACATCACACTGCTGCATGCCAAAGAGTGCAGAATTCCATGGACAAATAGGACATTTTGCAATATGCATTAAAAAACAGCCAAGCATGAGAAAATAAATTGGGAGTTTCTGGTTTGTAGGCTGAAAGATTTCTCCTTGATGAGAGTTCGCAGGCCAGCTCTTAAGAAGGGTTTGCAAGCTCAGTTTAAGAAAGGCCATAAAAAGCAGGAAGAAAATCCAGCAAAGAAAAGCAAGTTAGGCCTCGAAAGGGGAAAATCTGAACTGATCTTGAATTTGACAACTGGAAAGAAATTCCATCTGGTTCTGGGTTTCTGAGGGTGAATGTGTGAGTGTTTTGCACTCAGACCTTGCAGAGGTCTCACTGCCTTTGAGAGGAAGAGGAGACTGAGCTCTGGCCTGGGAGCAGCATTTTGTGGTGCAGGAGGAGCCTCTTGATCCCTTTGGATGCTGCTGGGTCACCTGTGGCTTTATAACATGGCTGAGCAAAGGTGAGCTGCTACCACCATGAACATCCTCCTCCCACAGGGACAGAGAGCTGGTGGCACTGCCAGGCAGTGCAGGAAGGGCTCTGTTTCCTCCCCTCCATCAAGGGCCTCCTTTTGGAGAGTGCCCAAGCAATAAGCTTTAGCTTTATAGCAACATTTGGTCCTGATGTACAAATTGCTGAGCTTAACAGGGACGAAGGGGCAATGCTTTACAAACTACTCTGGATTTAAGCAAGTCCATGGAGATGATGGTCTGGAGGAGGTTTCCATTCTGGAAACAGCAGCCAGTTCTGTGCTCCCCAGCAAAGGTCTGGCTGGCACCAGTGTGCACGTGAGGTCAGAGGAGAGGACCCAGCCCTCTCCTGTAGCCACCCTGGACTGAGTGTGAATCTGGCCCAGATAATTAAAGGTGATGGCTTTCTAAAAGCTTTGCTGTCAGTGCTTCCACCCATATGGGCCATTGCTTTTATTCTAAAAAAAATGTTTATGATCCTTCTTTTCCTCTCTGCATCGTAGTTGAGTGTTTTCTTTATTTCCCTTGAAATAATAATCAAAATCTGGAAATTGGGAACACATAGCCTGCTTGTGTGTGTATATATATGGTTCGGTTTTTTTTAAAACTATAAATTGGGGAACAGTTAAAATTATATTATTCCTGGCAGCAAAATTCCTTTTTTAATAGACAATTTGAAGTTATTATGTTGGAAGCAGTTTTCCCCACATGTTTGTGCATGTCTGGTGTGGAGGGAACTGTGCCAGGAGGGCTCCAGGCAGCTTCTGAGGCAGGGGAGTTGCTGGGAGCTTGCTGAAGGCTGCAGGCTTTCAGCTGATGGTAGGAAAAAAACCTCGAAGACACCATCTTTCAGTTCTTAAGTAAGCTTGGTTTTATCAATGGACATTTTGCCTTAGGAAGAACTGAAGAATTGGGCTTTCAAGATCTTTTTCTAGGATCTGGTTTTTACTTCTCTTAGCTGTTGGTTTTTACAAGGTTTGTGAGTGCCAATATGTTCTCCTGTGCACTAGGGATAGACACTTGTTTCTAATTAGTATTTATTGGATTATTTTAGTCAAAAATAAGCTTTGTATCAGAGCCCCACAATATACACTTCATTATTTGTTCACAGGATTGTGTTTTATTTCCCTGCTTGGCTTTTTATCAGCTTCAATCTACCAAAAAGCTGGTGGAAGGCAGCTGTGTTGGGGAGCTGCCCTAGAACAAATTAAACCAGGTTAAACAGATTCCTGCCTCTTACACATCATCTATGTCTTTCATCAGCCCAGGCATGTTTGTGACTCAGATGGCTGGAAATAGCAGCCAACATGTGTCCATGGGCTGTGTCCAGCTTCCTGCTGCTTTTCCCAGTTGCTGGGGTTAACTCCTCTCCCCATTCTGAGTTTTTGCAGGCAAAGCCTGGCTCAGGTGACATTAGCAGTAGGTATTGCTTGGTTTATGGGTGTGGATGGGACTGACTAATAGCACACCCATGTATGTGGAATTCCATGTGTGTGGAATAACACATAGGTAATGTTTGACATCGGTAAAATAGTAAAATAATGTGGAAAATTTGTCGTTTAATGGCATCTGAGTTCCTGACTTGAGGTCATATGACAAAAATATTTCCACAGTTTACCTTGGGACTTGAAAAGCAAATGGAAATATGAATATCAAGCTAAACCCTTGACTGATGTATTTCTCACACTGTAAATGACTAATCTTATTTGGGGAGAAAACCTTCCTAAATGAACGTGGATCTGTGTGGACAAGGGTGGCTGCAAGTGAAAATCCCAGGACTGGTCCCTTGGCCTTGGGGGTTGCACATCCTGCCCGTGGAGCTGCCTAGCCTGGGTTTTTCCTGTTTGGCTGATAGAAATGGAAGGGATGGCCCTGAAGTCAGGAGCACAGCAAGTGCCCTCAGAGTGATGGAACGTGGAATAAGAAGTAGACTCATAGCCTTTCTTTTAAAGAAACAGTACATATGCTTTAAAATATAAAATAAGTGCAGGAGAAATAAATGCAGAATATTTGGCAGTGACTCACTATGGAGAAACAGCAAATTCATTTGATTGGGGACCAAGGGGAGCTGTGTAGATTCGGCACAATTTAACTGCAGCTCAAGGCTGAATTTTCCTTTTCCTGCTGCACATCTCTGTTTTCCACAGCACACATAAAATGTTATTACTGCAAACTGCATGTCCAAACACAGCCCCTCCATGTGTATCACACACTATAAATCTCATGTTTTCTGCTTTCTTTCTCTTCCAGGACAGTGGCCCTGCCCAGAGCAGGAGGTCCATGCCCCATGGAGCTGGGGGCAGCCCTGTGGACAGCAAGCAGATGCTGAACATGCAGCATCACCAACCAACCCGACTGTACACCAACAACAGCTCTGAGTCAGCCCTTCCAGGCCAGCTGAGTGGACTCCATATCACTCCTGCACACAGGTAGGAGCAGGGCAGGGCTTGGCTCTGCATCTGCTGCTGCTCCTGCTAACTAAGGTTCAGGGAGTGCACAGAGGCTGCTGTGCTCCTGAAGCTCCTGAGGTCATGGAATCCTAGACTCACTTCAGTTGGAAACACCTTCAAGATCATCCTCCATAACCATTGACTTAACTCTGCCAAGTCCGTCAGGGTGCTGGGCTGGTCAAGTGTAGGTGGGAGGAGAAAAGAAACTAACCAAATAAACAAAACAAAGCAAAAATAAAAAGGCTTGGAGATGGAAATTTCTGAACAAAATAGGTAGCAACTGCAACATTAAAGTGAAGCTTGTGAAGCAATGCTCAGGTTTGCATCTTGGTGAAGGTGCTCACTCTTCATACCTCTGTTAAGATCCTTCTGTTGCTGATGTGAGTAGGTAGATTAGTGTCCCCTAGGTACAGTCCCCCAGCTGGGATTAATGCCAAGGAATACAAGAGGAGGACAGGTTTAAATTGGGTATTAGCAAAACTTCCTTCAGCAACAAGGCTGTCAAACCCTGGTACAGGCTGCCTGGGGCAATGGTGGAGTCACCATGCTTGGAGGGACTTAACAGACATGTGGGTGTTTCTCCTGGGGACATGGTTTAGTCGTGGCCTTGGCAGTGCTGGGGGAATAGTTTGGCTTGATGATCTTAGAGGGCTTTTCTTACCTAAACAATTCCATGGCTCTGTGAGGGTCACAGACAATAATACTTTGTTTATACTTTGTTTTTTCAAAGTGTATCTCCAAGGCAGGATGGAGGGTGCTGCCCTCGTAGGAGTGGGGATCACCTTGCCACAGACCTAGGAGCCAATACTAGCCCTGGAAGCTGGAGATACTGGCTGAAAGGATGAACTCCAGTAACTGGGATGTTTATAAGTGTAAGATCTGCTCAGTGCAGCTGTCCGGGAGGCTGAGAAATAAATAATGCTCCTAGGAAAGAAAAGGCTTTTGTGTAGCCAAGAATGGTTTGGGTGAATAACTCAGACTTTGAGACAAGCCAGGTTGTGGACTGGGATGCTTTCACATGGCTTATGAGGATCTGATTTATGTTCTTCCAAACTGGCAAAATATCCTGCAAGAAAGTAATGTCTGTATCACATGCAAAGAGAGTTTCTTTTCAGCTTGGGAACTCTGTGTCTGCATGAATCTGCATTTCAGTGATGCAGCAAGCCAGCTCATTCCCTGTGCTGCTCTGGGAGAGTTATTGAAGTTGGAAAGAGGAGAACTGCACAAAAAATAGAGAACAAAATCTGGTATTTTCTGCAAATGAGCCTAAAGCAAGGACATTCACTTGGGTCTTTAAGTAGAATTGGGGCAGGAGCGCATTTTCTTTGAATTCCAGTACATTTTCTTTGATGAGGCTGGCCTGGTGTCATGCTTTGACACTGGCCAAATGCCAGTGTCAAAGTCGCTTGCTTTCAGCTGGTAGAGGAGAGGGGAAAAAGAAATAACAAAGGGCTCATGAGTTGAGATGAAGACTGGGAGAAAACACTCTAAGGGCAAAACAGGTTCAAATTTATAGGTATAAAGTAAATTGATTATTAACAGAGTAAAAGGAGGCTAATGAGAAGTAAAATAAGCCTTTAAAACACCTATTTCCCCACCCCAGCCCTCCTTTCCCAGTGACAGCACAGGACAAAACAGGGTGTGGGAGTTTTGGTCAGCACATCACCTGAGATCTTCTGTTTGCTCAGGGAGAGGAGTCTGTTCTCTGCCATGCCTGGAGTCCCTCCCACAGGCAAACAAGTGTTCCCAAAACTGTTGTGGCCTGGGTCACTCATCCACAGGGTGCAGTCCTAAGGATAGGCTGCTCTAGTTTGGCAGCAAGGCCCTTCTCTGTGTCTCTGGAAGCAGGAGCCCTCTCTCCATTCGGGTCTCCCACTGGATCACAGATTTCTCTACCATCCACCAGCTCTGCTGTGAGCACTTTTCCCATGGGCTGTGAGTGGATCTTCATCCCATGGGATTCCTGCATTACAGGGGGACAGTTTGTTTCATCACAGCCTTTACCAGAGCTTGCAAAGGAATTTTGGCTCCAACACCTGGAGCACCTCCTCCCGCTCTTTGTTTTTCCACTGACCTTGGTGCCACCATGTTGTTTTCCCTCACGCATCCTCATTTCTTCCTCTTCTCTGACTAGAAGAAAAGCTGCTGCTCATAGATACCATTGCCAACAAGTTCCACTAATTCAAAAATTTTTGTAGGATCCCACAGCACTGAGAGGTCGATTTTGTCTAGGTTCTGTGTCAGGGAGTCTCTGGCCGTGTTTTCACCACAGGCCAGGCCCTGCCGCCATGTTTCCAGCAGTGGCGGCCGCGGCCCCAGCGCTGTTTAACGCCTGCAGGGCACGGGGAAGGAGAAGCCACTGCTGCTCCCCTGCCCCTCTGCCCACAGCATGGCTGGGCAGGCAGGGCAAGGCTGACCACGGGCCATGCCGAGGTGGCGGCAGCCATGGCCATGTATCGCCACAGGCCGAGCCAGGGATGGACCCCCACTACAGTGCCTCACTATTCCTGGAAAATCTGCCCCTGCATCGTTTTGATTTTATACTTAAATATGTCATCACAGAGGTGTTACCAACCTCTCTAATTGGGCCAGCAGCATGTCCAACTTCAGAGCCATCAGAGACTGGCTCTGTCAGACATGGTGGAAGCTTCCAGGAGCTTCTCACAGACGCTACCCTTGTGGGGCCCCTCCCTGCTGCTACTAACAAACCAGGCTGTGCCAAATTAACACAGCTGGCCAAAACCTGCCCTTTGCCATTGACAATATGTGAATTGATGTAGGAGTGAGCTGTAGCAGGGTAGAGAAGCACTGGGAGCACATCTGTAGGGTTTGGACTGGCTGGGAGTCACAGGGATGGGTCCATAGCTCTGCACCACCCAGGCTGGTCCTCACCTCCCACAGGGAGCAGAGCTGCTGGAGAGTCACTACCAGAATATGGAGCTGTAGCCATTCTCTGAAGGTGACTTTTGCTGGAGGTTTTTTTCTCCTTCCTTCTTTCTTTCTTTGAAAGTGAATGTTATTTCTTTTGTTTATTTGTTTAAGCAGACATGAATATAACACTGGTGGAGAAAATGATCCAGATGAAAGCTAAAGTATGTGAAGCTGATGGAGTTCAGGGCTCTTGCTGTTTTTACTGGTTTTATAATGACCTTGATGACCTGCTCTATAAAAAGGAAGAGGAGCCCCTTCCCCTGGAGCTGTGCTGTGTGTTGGGGCCTCTGGAGCACAACAGCACTTGGATTCAGGTTTTCTCAGCAGGACATTTAAGCATATACCTGAAATATATTTGATTCCAGACAATGCTTTTCATTTTTTTATGTTTTGGACTGGAATAATGGTTTAAATTGCTGTGTGTTGTCTGTGGATCGCAAATGTTCCTCATACAGAGGAGGAGCAGCTCCAGGCTGAAGGCTGGAGGGAGGGGTTACAGGACAACCCCAATGTCCCCCTCCCTGAGGTGGTTTTCTCTCAGAGTTAAGCTGTGCTCTGTGTTTGTGATGTACCTACAGTAACACCAGCTTCACAGGAAGCACTTGTGGGTGGTGAGGGATTTTGCTGTCCTGCCTGGCACACACTCTTCACATGCCCTTACAAGGGGTGAGTGCATGCCCTGGCCCTACACAGTTAATGAAATGCATGGTTTTTTCCCATTTTATCAATAAATTCCATAGGTAGCAAAGCAATTTACAGCATTTGCAAGCAGCTGCCCTCTTTCCTGAAGGCATCTGGTAACTGGGCCAGCCCTTGCTGTGTTGCTCAATGGGAGCCCAACAGGGAACAAGTTTAACCTCCTCGGTTCAGCAACTGTTCCTGTGCCAGACATACCTCCAGGCAGGGAAACACATGAAAACAGAGGTGCTTAATTGAATCTGTGGGAATGTGGAGATTTCAGTACCTCCCTGATGAGCTGACAGTAGCTGTTTCTGTTTGACTTGAGCCTTTCTTTCTTTGCTTTAAACCAGCATTGACCCCGTGAAGTCTCTCCCACGGAACAGAAATGGGATTGATGTGGAGTCCGATGTCTACAAGATGCTCCAGGATTATGAAAAGCCCATTTCAGAGCCAAAGCAGTCTGGATCCTTCCGGTACTTGCAGGGCATGTTGGAGGCCAGTGAGAATGGTAAGGGGGTTGGCATCCAAGCACTCTCCTGTGAGGAGACCACTGGGATGGCAGGCTTCAAATCAGTGTTTCACATACTCCTGTTTACCAGATTTTGTGGCTGACTTGAGCACCGTGTGAAAGCTGGATTTGTAAGCAGCGTGGCAGCTGTTTTCTGAGATGGTTTATGAGATGTGATGGCCTTAAGCAGTTGTGTAAGATCACTGTTGGAGAACCTGGTCTGGCTTAGTAAATGGCATTTGCATAAGGACGTGGGATGGTCCTCAGCAAGGCAGGGATAGAGATCAGGAGCTCTTGGCTCACTTCTCAGGTCTGTCACAGCTTCCTGCCCATGTTGTTAACACATTAAATAATAAGATCCCCAATCTATACATTTCAGCTTCTTTTTTATTTGCCTTTCACTGTTAAGTCTGTTGGGGCTTTTATGTTCAAATTTTTAGGATTTGCTTTACAATCTTACAGGGCAAGACTCCTCTTTCTGTTTCCTTCCAAGGGCCCCATACTGCAATCATGTGAATCCAGGAACATATCTTTTATGAGAAAATACCAACTGCTGTAAATCTCATTATGGAGCTGTGCGAGGTAGCAAGTTGGGCTGTTGCATTTCAGTTTCTGTTTGTGTAAAATGTTGGACAAGTCTGTTCTTTGACTAGAAGGATGTTGATTCTTGCTTCACAAGAAGCACAATTGCAGGTAACTTCTGATCATCATGGAATTCCACCAGTATTGGTTTTCTCAGTGGGACTGAGCCATAGTTGCAAAGCATGAGGTAGAATCAACCTCAGAAGCACTGGGTATATGATTGTATTTTATATTAGTAATACAGCCCCTGCATTGGCAGTATTAAAGCCCTTGGATTGATGTTAAATACAAGCCTCATTTGGACCTTCAGGTCCTTCAAGACCTCCAGGAGCAAGGACAAATCTGCTGCTTCTCCAGTCTCCTTGTTAGGAAGAAGTAAATGGGAAGTGACTGTGTTAATCCCAATTAGTAATGCTGCTGCCTTCCTCCCTTCTCTGTGCCAGGGAAAGGGAACAAAATTCAAGCTTTGCTGGTTTGCTCCTGCCTCCCCCTGCATCCTGCAGCCCTGGGCTGGCAGAAACCCAGTGCTAGGAGGAAGGGGGAAAGAAAAGGCTGGGGAACAAAGAGGTGCCAGGATAAATCCCCACATCCTGGGACAGTGCAGGCAGTCCTGGATGTGTGCTCATCAGCATTCTCTTGGCTCTAGCCTATCACCAGTGCAACACTGTGTGTTTGACTGCAGCCTGACAGGCTGCTTTTGGTACCAGCCAGTATGGGACAGGCTGGAGCAGTCACTGTCACCTAGGTTCCACCATTCTCCCTCTCAGTAGTGTGGAGGGGATGTGTGACTGCCTGCAGGCACAGCCTCACTTATGCCTTGGTCATTCCAACACTCTTTATTTCACAAGGGATGAGAAATTAGGTGAAAAGCATCTCTGCTTGGCATGAAGCTCTGTGATGTTCCAGCACGTTTTCAATCCTAAGTGTTCCTGCTGGGTTTGTTTTACAGCTGCCACCCCTGCTCCTTTTTCCTTAAGCCTAAAATTACACATTTTGACCTGAGCCTGCTCTGCATTGTCCTTTTAAAGTCAAGCTCTCCTCTCCCAAGGAGCTGAGTGTCTTGGACAACGACCTGTTTTATATAGAATGTGTTCCTACTGGAAGCATTTTAGCCCTATCCCACACCCTTAGGAAGCAGTGCCCACCCTCATATACACCCATAACCCAGAAAGGACAAAAAACTCCAGCCATAACGTGGATGGCATGGTGGAGGCTGTGGAGTTCAAGCATTTTACTGCCTTGCTGAAGACCATAAATCACCATGAGACTGGGCTGGTAAATAGAAGGAAATTATACACAGTTCAAGAAGATGGGAAGCAGCCTTCTCTGCAGGGTTCGTTTTGCTGTAAAATCCCTTTTTTTTTTTCCCCCTTCTTGCCTTTTTTAAGCAGCTTATCCAAGCACTCTGCATGAGAGGCAGTGACAGCTTAACTGTTAAATGTTGGCAGATGAGCCTGTCTAGTCCAAGCATGCTGTGTCTCATGCTGGGGGAAGCCAACAGCTTGAGCAGTTGCTTCAGTTTATTCCCAGCGAGGCAGCGGAAGGATTCACCAAGGGGCTTGGCTGGAGCCAGCCAAGTACTCCTCTGGTGGAGTAGCCCTGCTCTGCTCTTGGGCAGGCACTCCTGCATGTATGAAAGCTCTTTCATAGAGCATTCATGCTCTTTCATAGAGCATTGCCAAACACTGTGTTGTGTTTTGGGGAGGTGGGGTCTGGTGGGAAGTTGCTCCTTTTGGTTTTACCCCCTCAACTGGAACTGCTGGCAGCGTTGGCCTCTGTGTCAGAGCCATGGAGCCATGGCTGGAGAGAGGGGCTGTGGTGGGAAGGTGCCTGTACACCCCAGGGGATGAGTCAGGGGTGCACCCTCCTTCCCATCTGGGCCCAGGACAATAATTACTCCTGAGACACACTAGATGGGGGAGCAGGAGTCGCTTTTCTGAGTAATGCCCTTCAGAATGTATCTGTGCTGTGACCCTGCCCCAGGGCTGTGAGCAACCAGCAGGGATGATGTACCAGGCTCCAGGTAGCAAATTAGAACTCTGGAGAATGACTTGTTCATCCAAGAGCTCCTCTGCTGCTTTTCCAAACTGTGAGCCAGGTGGTCCTTCTTCATGAGCCTTTCCTTTCTATGACCTTAGGCAATCACAGAGGAACCATAGATCAATATATGCCAAACAGACCCCAGTCAGTTGTCAGCTGTGGAAAACCATGCAGTCAGTACTGGAAGCTTTTAAGTACCCCAGGAGTTGGCAACAAGCATGTTGGTGTTGTCCAGAATTGGAGGGCAGATGGTAGATGGTCTGTAGGGAGTGGGAGCAGCAACACTGAAAATTCTGCTATGATATTTTTCATATGCACAAAATCTTCATTGCTTTCTTTCCTGTTGTTGGACCTTTATGAAAGGAGGCCTGGTGCCTCAGAAGACCTTACCTTCTATCACAGTATTTTGATTTATATTATTTGAGCTTAAATGTGTGCTCTAGGAAGAAAAGTGCATGTGATTCTGTTATTGTTTGGTTCAATTTGCCTCATTCTCTGAAATTCTTTTATGGATGGAACTTTTTTTTTTGGCAGGGGATGGGGAGGAGTGACTTTTCTGAGCTCTTCACTTTATGATTTTTAACTAAGTACTATTATAGCCAAATTAACCTCTCATCTCTAGATCACAGCTGCTCTGCATTTTGACAAGGTCTATGTCTGTTGACCTGGTGCTGTCCTGGAACTTCCAAAGGTGTTGCAGGTCCTGTTATGACAGGCAGGCTCATCTGACTCTGTGAGGGAAAAGGAAAAAAAAAAGGAAGAAGAAGAAAGAAGAGGGGAAAAAACAGCTCTGAGAGGCCAAGTTTTTAATCTGTGTCTTTATAATTCTTGGCAGGTGAAAAACTCGACAAACTGAGCAACCCCCGGAACATCAAGTCCCCGGTGCCAAAGCTTGGTGGCCCCATGTCTGGGCTGCAGATGCTCCCTGAGTGCACCCGCTGCAGGAATGGCATTGTGTAAGTGTTCTGCCTCACCAGAGCCCCTGTGCAGTGGGGACAGTGACACTGGGACGTGGCTGGGTTGGGTCCTGACCAGCACGTGGGTTAGAATTTATAGCAGAATACCTTGAATCCCTTTCTAGCTTTTTCTAGCCATATCTAAACCTGAGCAATGCAGTTTGGATTGCCCCTTTTAAGGGAATCTCACAAGGGATGATTTATGGGATGGTTTGTGCCCTGCTTATCATAGTAGCTGCCCAGGGACTATGAATAGCACCACGGCACCAAGCACTCCTTCACTGCCTTACAAGGGTTGTGGGAGAAACACCTTGAGTGTTGAGAAGACGACAGCTGTTTTGTTTGTTTCTTAGAGTTACACTCTGACAGATGGATGTTTATTTCAGATAGTATAGGTGGTTTTATGCTTTGTTTGTTGTAATTTATGACCTGTTGTAATTTATGTTCTGCTGTAATTTACATCCAGCTCAAGCCAAATTTGCTGGCTGAGTGTGAGCTGTGCACATGCCTGCAGTGGTATTATTGCTGGTGCTGTGAGTGAGGGTCTCTGCTCCACAAGTCATAGTGTCTGCAGGTGCTCAGCCCCAGTCCTTGCAGATGCTGGCTGATTTTCAGATCCAGGCTGAGTGTAGATATTTAAGGCTGTGTTTTGCACCAGGCTGTGGAGCAGTGCTGCTGGGTGTGGAGCACCCTGCCTGCAGAAGCACAGTGAAGCCACACCTGGAGTGAGGTGGCAGCTTTGGGTGGGCTGAGAACCCCTGATAACACCCTTACATGTCCCTGCATGCTGCTTTCCTCCACTTTACTGTTTCACTTGAGGCAGCAGGAAAAGCTGTTCATGCTCCTCGTTCCTCCACCTCACTCGAGCTCTCCGGATCTCTCTCAGGGGCACCATTGTCAAGGCTCGGGACAAGCTCTACCACCCTGAGTGCTTCATGTGTGACGACTGTGGCCTCAACCTGAAGCAGAGGGGGTATTTCTTCATCGAGGAGCAGCTGTACTGCGAGACACACGCCAAGGAGAGGGTTAAGCCCCCCGAAGGATATGACGTGGTGGCTGTTTATCCAAACGCCAAAGTTGAACTCGTCTAAGGCTGGGCTGTGCTCTGGAGAGGTGGGGTGGCCCACCCACGTCCTCCTGCCAGCTGCAAGCACTGGGGCTGTAATCAACCCCCATGACCAAAGCCCAAGTTCAAATGCCTTTTCCTAGATAAAACCGTTTACACTTGGGATCTCCAGGGAATGGTGTTGAAAGCATTCAAACAGGTTTTACCCTTCTTTTTGACACTCTGCTTTTTGCTGTGTTGGGTTATTAGTCTGTGCTGTAATCTTATCCGAGATCTGTGTAAATATTGATTAATTCTCTACTCTCTTTCATATAAAACCTGTATTCCTTTTTTTACTTTTTTTTTTTGTGCCCTCCTTCTACTGAAGATGTTTTAGATGTTTTAAAAGCTCAAAGAAAATAAGGCACTTTACAAAAGAAGCTGTCTCTTATGTCCTGACCCTAATCTCCTGTCCTGTGGCTGCCCCAGTGATTAAAAACCAACCCCTGAGAGTCAGGACAGTACCAGTGGGTGCCGCACTCAGCTGCATCCCAGCAGATGTGCCAAGGAAGGGTGGTCTCTTAAAACAGTAATTACAGTGAGACTCTTTGGACCAGGGCAGTGCAGTTTGAGGCTGCCAAGGACTGATTCAAGTTCCCAAGAGATCTCCACACTGAGTGTGTCATGGGGCCTTTTTCTTCCTCCTTCTACTACTAATTCCATTATTCTGTTATCTAATGGCTCAAGCACACCTTGAAAGGACACTGCAGCAGCCTGGAGCATCCTTTGATTATCCCCACCTCCTACATTTCTGCCCACAGCTGCCTTTGCTTTGGCCATTGTGACTATTCCCCAATTTTTGCTGTAGTTTTACAGTCCTTTATTTCTAAATCCTCAGATTGCTGCTATCTGGGTCTGCCTCCCAGCAGAGAGGGGGTGATAAAATCCCTCCAGGCACTTAGGGAATAACCAGAGCTTGGGTGAGCCCCAGGTCCCAGGGCAGCAGGATTGTGTTTATACCTATCTCCCAAGGCTGTGCCTTCAGCCAGGTCCATCGTCCACTTTATTTGACAGGGAAAAGATTTAGTGGCTCTTGAAATGTTTCTTTGTTAGAGAAATGTGGTTTTTTTCATGTTAGAGGAAGAAGAGAGGGAGCTGACTTGGGAGATAGGTATATCTATCTGGGTATACCTATAGATATAGGTCAAAAGTGCTGGGTGCTGCTGTGCAAGGTGATGGGAGCTGTGTCTTTGGTACCACGAGGTTATTTCTGCTTTGCAACAGCCTCAGTCTTCTTCCTCCTTATTTTGAGAGAGAAAGGATGTGGGGGAGAAAAAGAAAGGCTTGTGCTTGCTTTCCTTCCATGGAAAAGGAAAATAAGAAATGGAGTGATGGGAAAAGCACCCCTTTCCCTACTGGTTCTCCATAAGAGAGAAAACTGGGGATTGGAGGAGAGTTGGGAACATGATCCTAGTTGAGGCTGAGCAGGTAATTTCTTCCTACACGTTCTGCACCCCAGAAGGGATTTTAGGGTGCTATTGGTCTCCATCTAGACCTCTTCATGCTTTGCTTTACAGGGACACAGCAGCTCCTGCCCCATGTCCTGCAGCCTCCCAGCAGCCTGGGCTCCCTCCAGCTGGGTACCACAGAGATGCTGGCTGTGTGCATTCCTGCTAGCAGGGGGACATCCAGAGGACATCCTCCTCCTTCTGCCATCAAGAATTTTTAATTATTAAAGTACAAGAAATGTGGAAATTTTATCACAGTGCTGAACCACATTTTTCTTGTATTTGCATGGTCTTGCTTGGTCAGTTGGACCCTCTGAATGGGGGAATGTTTGGGACAAGTGTAAAGGAGGAGATGGTAATCAGGTGGGAAGTATTACTGCCCTGGTTTGCAGGGCTCTGCTTGGAGCTCCTTGGAGTGCCCTTGTCAGAAACATTTATTCTGAATTCCTCTGTTATCCTTATACATTGCTGGTTTGAGCTTTGGTGCCTGTAGCTTGAAAGTTCAGGCTTCACCAAAATCCAGGACTGAACACAGCCCAGCTGCATGATGGAAGACTCCCAGCATAAATGGCACAGGATGCCCTTCCCTGTTTCCAGGCAGGCAGTTGGAGATACCAGTGGTGCTGTTTGTCACTCCCTGGGGCTCTTGTCCCCATTTGACTCTACCTGCATGGTGGCCACGTCCTGCAGGATGCCAGGAATCTGTAGCCCTGATACAGGGAGCACCAAGAAGTTCATAAGTGGGTTCATTGCTCTCATTTTAAGCACCCAGCTGAGCAGGCTGCTGGCCTTGGTGGGCACCCTTGGTGGTCTTGCTTGGCTGCCACACCAATGGGAATGCTGGGCATGGAGCTGTTCTTCTGATGATCCCAAGTTCCCTCAAATCAATATTTCCACATGGCATCTTATGATACCCTTTCTTAGGAGTAATCCATTCACCTGATCCCCCTGCAGAGCTTGGAGCTGCTTTACACAGGCCCATCTCAGGGCACATGGTTTCCTGGCTTCAGGCCACCCTGTTCCTGTTGTGAGGCTTGCACAACAACTTGAGGAGCAGCCACAAGTGTCACCTTCTCTGTCACCAGATAATGCTGTTAAACTCTGTAAAATGTGGGGAGGGTACTGTTTGTATGAAACAAAAAATAAAATTGTATGATGGGTTTTGTCTCACATCACTTGGCCTTTGCCTGGTCTGTATGTGTGGGGGTCCCCTGGCGTCCAGGTGAGAAGGACACTGGATAAACTTCAAAAAGCATCTTGGAGATACAAATTGCATCTTCATGCCAGTGCAAATGTGAATTGCTTTCCACATTTCATTGAGAGCTTGTTTGAGGTTTGGTCTGTTTTGGGGGAGTTGATGTGGGTTTTTTAACTTGAGACCTTCCTGGGAGTCTACATCCTATCAGGTGTGGAGGTGGGAAAGGCCACTGTGTCTCTGTGTGATCGCCCACTGGTGCCTGGCTCCTCTCCACCAGTGGGACCCAGCTCACCTTGTGATGGTCCAGAGCTTTGCTGCCTCTGCTCCTGCACAAGGCTGAAGAATCAGTGGTTTTGGTGATGTTTAATCAGCCACAGTGACACTCCAAGGGATCCTTCTCCCACCTGATGTCCCAGGCTGTCACCAGACTGGGATCCACAGTTCTGCAGTGCTGGGGGTGTTGCTGCTGTCGCTGCTGGAGTGAGCTGGGCCTTCCCAAGGAGAGGTTACTGCTGGCCCCTGGAGTACAGAAGCCCACTGGGTGGTGGGAGTGTGGGGGATTGGGAGGGGAGGGCAGGCTGGGGTTAGCAGCTGTGTCAGAGGGATGTTTGCTTCTGTAGCTCAGTCTCTGTGGGTTTGGCTTTAACAGTTGATTGGGATTCAAACCACTGGTGTGTGAGAAAGTCAGAAGAGGTGTGAGGTAAGTGCCTCCAATATTTAACCTAAAAGGTTTGATTTGGCAGCTGTTCACATATAGAAATTGTTGTCTGTATGTGCCTAAAACATTTAAAAGACAAAACCTCTGAGGCTCTGCATGTGGCAGAAAAAGTTTCCATAGGGGAAAGAAAAAGTTTCCAGTGTGGGTCTGTGTGATTCTATGTCTAATTTGTACACATATTCAAGTAATTAATATGGTTATGACTCTCCAATTAGTGGCTTTTCTATTCACCCTTGAACACACACATGTGTTGGATGTATTTCTGTGGTTTAGCCTCCACCATCCCCAGCCCTTCTCCCCTGGGCATTGATGCTGGGGGGCCTCAGCCCCTTGGGGGGATCCCCACTGTGAGACTGAGGGGTACAGAGAGCCTGAGCAGCTCTGGGGCCCCCCAGACCCTCTGCTGCCCACACAGCTACTCTGACCAGCCCAACACTGGGAGCCTCCTCTCTTCTTCAGGAAAAAGAGGCGCAAGCTCCACCGTGATGAAGCACAGCATTTATGAACTAAATGAGGTGGGACCAGGGCCAGACTGATGCAAGTTTTAATTGTTTAACTTTTTCCATGTATCATTAAAGTTTCTTACTTAGCCAGGCATTATTTCCACCACCACACCCCGCTCTGCTGCAGCTTTTGTTTGGAGTTGTTTAATTTTGCTTTTGTTACTACTGGTCTGCCCCAGGGACTGAGAAAATCTCAGCTTGTCCATTTATCTGAGGATAAATGTTCTGTGCCATAGGAGGGGGATTGAGGGGAAGAGGCTCTTTGGAAAAGTTCCCTCTCTTCCCTTTCTCATGTATGAAGGAAGCTATTTTCATTACTTTAGGGAGGAAAAAAATCTTCCCTTTACACATATAGTAAAACCCAGAAAACTGCTCCTGATTCTAGAGAAACTTATCTGCAAGTTGTCTCTGTCTCTCCCCAGCAAACACTCTCAGAGCTCTTTCAGCTAGAGCTCTCCCCCAGGACATTTAAATATTCTGAATTTTTAGGTAGTCCTAAAGCAGTTGCTCGTGCAGGGAGCCCAGTGGGGAGGGCCTGGGCTGGGCCAGAACTGATTTCAGAGCAGTTCAGGTGCACAGGGCCGCACTTCACTCTGCAAAAGTTCTGCTCAAGCCTGGTTCAGGCTTTTGCCTTTATTAATAACTACTTTCTGAAGAAGCACCTTAGTCCTGCACTCCCAAACCTGAAGGGTTGCAGGAGGCCAGTGATGAGTGTGTCCTCTCCAAACTGATGGAGTCTGAGGAGATGCAAGCTGCTGGCACTGTGGCACCATGGGTTGGGAGGAATTGGGCTCACCAGTGGGACATGGACACCACCACTGGAAAATCCAGCTGGAGTGGCTCTCCAGAGGCCACTCACACCTTGCTCCTGTCCCCAGGCAGCACCAGCCACCATGACCCTCCCAAGAGGTGTCCAACCTGTCCTTGGAATGGACAATCCCAGCTCCCCAGGCAGCACGTCCCAGGGGTTTTCCCAACATTGGGGGAATGCAGGGGATGTAAAGGAGGGCATTGGATACATGATGTGCAGAGGAATGTACGGGATCTGTATGGGATCTGGTGGTAAATGGGTGTGCCTGGGCTGCAGGGGGCTATAAAGGATGTGTGGGGGCAGATGGGCTACAGGGGGCTATAAAGGGTGTGTGGGGGTAAATGAGGGGCAGGTGGGCTGCAGGGGGCTATAAAGGATGTGCGATGGGGATGAGGGGCAGAGGAGCAGGCTGGCTGCAGGGCCATGGGACAAGGCAGAGCTCCATCCCTGCGCTGCGCTGTCTCCTGCTCCATCTAGTGATGAAAACTGAAATATCCAGCGGCTTCCAGCAGGATGGGACAAGAGCCAGCTCTGTGAGGAGTCCCGGCACGGTGAGGAAGCTCCCGAGCGAGAACATCCAAATCCACCCAGAGGGCAGCACTTCGGGAAACGTCCGGCAATGATTTCTCCGGGAGAGGTCGTTTTACACCGGAGTGATGGGCTTGAGCATCTCCTCTCTTCTCTGGCAAGACCTCTGGCGTTTCTTTGCTCTCCTGCAGCCCTGACCCACATCACTGAGCTCTGACCCAAAGGCTGGGGGCCAGGGAAGCAGAACGTGCTCCTGCTGCACAGAAAGCGTGTGCTGGTCCCCAGCAGGGCCAAAGCAATGTGGCCAAACTTCCCCTGCTGGAGTGACATTGCACCAGGCAAAATTACTGAAGTCCTTCCTGAGTGGTGGATAGGCTTGAGAAAGCTGACTGCCCTTGAGAAGGTGGGCTCTGGGAGGGTTTATCCCAAATCCTCACACACCTGCTAAAGACAGGCATCCTCACTCCATCTCTTTTACAGGATTCCTACCACAAATAAGATGAAAAATCATTCACACCATATGTTTGTCTGCTGGGCCCTGCTTAGGAGGAGAGAAGTTCATTCATCACTACCAGGAGCTGGGAAGTGGTGGCCATAATGCCCCTGAGAGCTCCAAGTCCCGCAGGCTGGATTTGAGTGAGCCTCAGGCAACTCTTGGCACTGCTGCAAGGGGAACCTGCACTGAACTGCTGGGAGAGCAGAAAGGCTGAGATGAGCCAAGAGCCTTTTTAAAGGCTGCCAAAGATGACTTTTTCCATGTGCTCTTGGTCTAGTGGGATGTGACCCTGATGGATGTGACGACCAGGTGGGCAGCAGGTAGGCCAGGAGGGCTTTGGCCAGGAGGGCTGTGCCACACTCCAGCAGGGTGGTACAGGAGCTCCAGCATGTGGCACAGAGCCCCTCAGAGGACACACTGCAGCTCACATACAAAATGGGCCTTGATTTGCCCTGTTGATAAGCAAATTTCCACATGATCCAAGTGCTAGGAATCCACAGAACTCTAAATTATCATGTGCTTTCTTAATTTCCATCTCTCCAGATGGCTACTGGGGGGGTGGCACAGCTGTCCTACAACAGCAGAGGGTCCCTTCTAAGGGACTTTTGCCCTGGCAGAAAGAGCAGAGCTGCTGTGGGCAGCACCACCCCACTCTGGAGCAGAGCAGGAGCTCTGATGCCAGCAGTGGCACACTGGGTGAGGGTAATGTGACTGCACAAGCAGGAGCTGGGCTCCTCCACAGCTGGGGGCAGCTGTGGCATCCAGCAGCCATTGGAGCAGCTTCCTGCCTCCACAAGAACCAAGTGCCTGCACTAAAGGTGGTGTCTCAGCCATTCAAAGATTTGTTTCATCTCCCCCTATAACAAAGTACTCCTCCTTTGCTCTGCTGGCTCCTTGGCATCTGGCTTCAATTTAAAGGATTTAAATCTGAGCTCATTTCCCACACACTGCTCTTCACCTAAAAGCTGAAAGTGTGTTTTATAAGGCTATGGTAAAATCACAGAATTGTTTAGGTGAAAGAAGCCTCCAGCACTACCAAGCCCACCACTACACCATGTCACCAAGTACCATATCTTCGTGTGTGTTAAATCCCTCCAGGGATGGTGACTCCACCACTGCCCGTGCCAGTGTCACAAAAAATTTTCTCTAATATCCAACCTAAACCTCCCCTGATACAACCTGAGGCCATTTCATCTCTCCTTGGGGGAAGAGACCTTGCTTGTTCCTTGGGAGAAGAGACCAACCCCCACCTCACCAACTCCTCTTTTCAGGGAGTTGTAGAGAGCAAAAATGTCCCCACTGAGCCTCCCATACTCCAGAGCCCCTCCTGCTCCCTCAGCTGCTCCTCATCAGAATTGTGCTCCAGCTCCTTCCCCAGCTCTGTTGCCCTTCTCTGGACACATGCACTGGCCTCTTTAAGAAGGGTCATTTGAAAGAATTAGGACTGGTCCTTCCCCTACAGTGAATTTGCTCCACAACAGTCCAAGCCATTCACTGGCCACTGTTTCATGTAGTTTTCATAATCTCCATGCTTGGGTTAAAGCATCCCTGATGTTGGATCACAAGTGGGTTTTGCAAGCTGGGGAACACCCAGCAAAAGTTCTGGGCTATGGTGATTGCAGCAAGAGCTTGTGGTGCTGTGGCAGAGCTGGCTAGAACACAAGGGATTTCTATTACTGCTAATTTATGCAGGTTCACAGTATAAGAGAAAACCCTGTGGTGTTCTCATGTCAGACACATGCAATTTTAATATGCTAAGCATGCATCTGCAAACCAAATAAACCTAAGCACATCATCTACCACTTACTGAGTCTGTGTCTACCACTTTTGATATGCTAAGTTTGCAGCCTAACCACAGTTATTTCTGAGCTCTGCGAATTAGTCCTCTGTAATAAATTACTGTTGACTGAATAATTGGTAAGATTGCATTAACATTAATGCTTAAGACAATACACTCCACATCCCTAATTTCCTCATGGGAGCAGGCATGCATTGCATTTTACTATGGTTCTCGCACAGCCTCAGGGCAGGGCAGGTGGAGGGCTGCTGCCTGGGAACCCCTGATCCGTCCCAGCTGGCCCCCACCCTGCTCTTATCACTGGGGACACCTTAGACTGCTCAGTAGCCCAGGCCTGGCACGAGGATGTCCTCTCCAAAGAGGAGATATCTGAAGCTTCCCATGACATGAGTTCTTCCCCCACATCCAAAGCAGCAGCAGCAGATCGCTGCCTGGCAGATAAATGTTGCCAAAAGCTTCTCCTCCCCAAGCACCGCCGCTTCCACTCCGTGCTTCCTTCCCACACTCCCCCTCGCCCTCTGTGATCTCTGCTGGAGCGAGGCTTGCCAGCCTGCCCTCGCACATCGCACATGGGCATCCTCGTCTGGGCACTGCCCGACCCAGGCACCCTGCTCACAGCTCCAGGGAGCCGCATGGTCCGAGCAGGGCAAGCACTGCGCTCGTTTCAGACAGCACCGCGTTTCTGAGGGCTCCCTGAGTCATTTCAGGAGATGACAGCGTTGTCCGGATTTCTGAAATGGCTCTGACAGCTATCCACGTATGGGACTGTGGGCAAAGCCAGAATCACGTGTGGAGCAGGAATAGTAAATGGATATGAGACGGGATTATAAAAAGCTCTTCTCTCGGGGCCAGAGCTGCTGCAGACTCCTTGAGCAGACACTGCTGACCTTGTCTGTTGCCGAGAGTAAACACTGCTGGGAAAAAGCACTGGGATGCATTAGGGACGGGATTTCAGGGGCTGTGAGAACGTTCGATTCCTAAAGCACTGTCTGGTCCTTGTTTTTCCTCTGTGCCAGTGTGGAGGAGGGCTCCCACTATTGACGTCGCTACCTAGTGGGATGAGCCGGGCAGAGAGACCCCGCCGGCCGGGCAGCTCCCGCTGATGGCTCCTGTTCCAGCTGCCCGTCCATTAACGGAGCTGGTGATGCCCGGCTGTGCTCCGCTCCCGCGGGGGTGGTACGATGCTGTGCCTCCATCTTGCAGCACCAACACAGGGGATAGCCTGTTTTGGCTCCCCGAATGGAGGGATTCGGGGCTCGGGGAAGGCTGGGGGCGGCGGAATCATCGCCGCGCTCCCACCAGGCGCTGATCTCGCACCGGCAGCTGCTGCCGAGAAAGCAGCCCGGTCCCGCCGTGCCGTTACCGGCACCACCCGCTCCGCTCCGGCTGCGGCTGCCCAGGCAAATAAATGGAAAAAAACCGGACACGCCTCCTACGGAAAGCTCCGGAGCCGGCGGCGGAGCAGAAGCGGTGCCCGGGGAAGGCTCCGGGGATGCCGCCGCGGGGAGGCGGGGTCGGCAGAGCCCGGGCCGGGCCGAGCCCCCTCGGTGCCCTCCGGCCGGGCCGGGACGCGCCGCCCCGCGGGGGCCGGGCCGGGCCGGGCTGGGCGGGGCTGCCCGCGCCGCCTCCGCGGAGCGCGGCTCCGGGGGAGACCCGCGGAGCTCCGCGCTCGTCATGCGCGACTACGACGCGGCCACCGCCTTCCTGGGCGAATGGGGCCGCTTCCAGCGCCTCATCTTCTTTCTGCTCAGCGCCAGCATCATTCCCAATGGCTTCAACGGGATGTCGGTCGTGTTCCTGGCCGGCACGCCCGAGCACCGGTGCGTCGTGCCCCGCGGGGCCAACCTGAGCGGCGAGTGGCGCAACGCCAGCATCCCGCTGGAGCTGCGGGACGGGCAGGAGGTGCCGAGTCGCTGCCGCCGCTACCGCCTGGCCGCGCTCGCCAACTTCTCGGCGCTGGGGCTGCGACCCGGCTCCGACGTGGAGCTGGAGGCGCTGGAGCAGGAGCCGTGCCTGGACGGCTGGGAGTACAGCCGCGATGTCTATCTCTCCACCATCATCACCGAGGTGCGGTGACACCCCTACCCCGGGCCGTACTGGGGCTGGGGTCTGTCATCCTGCCCGGGGGAGGGCGAACAGGGAGCAGGAACCATCGGGTGAAGTGCCTGTGGGAAGGGGTCCGGCTGGGCACGATGCTGCGAGGGGCGGGAGGGATGCGAGAGGTAAAGGCTGACGAAGGAGCTGCGCGCCCTCGCCGTTCCAGCTGTGTTTGCCAGCTGGTTTTACTCTGGGACAGGTTTGTGTGGAGGGGGAGGCAGAGGCTGGAAATTGAAGCCCGGTAGTTTCCTCCTGCCGCACGCTGACCATCCCGGTAATTTTCTATGTGATGGAATGGCCCCATGTCCTCGGTGCAGCGTTGAATGGGGACATGGATAGGTTCAGATAAACACATCCCCAGCTGTCCGGGGCTGGAGCAGAGCGGACCCTCGCTGCCCCTCTCCCTGGAGTGCCGGTGTTCCGTGGCGGTCAGCGCTGGGACCGGCGGGCGGCAGGTGCCGCGGTCACTCCTGCGGGAGCCTGGCCTGGCTGTCCCTTGGGTTTGTAGGCTCTGTCTGCAGTGGCATCATCTGTGCAGAGCGGCACGGGGGAACATCAGCGGTGCCGGGCAATGTGAGCACTTGTTTGTGTCCTCCGGCCGTGCCGGGGTGTGGAGGCAGAGCCGCGCTGTTCCGTAACGCTGGCACGGAGCGGGGAGCTCCGTTAGGAAGGGAAATGATTCCTCTGAAGCTGCAGGAGCGCTGTTGCTGTTCCCGTTGTGTAAGGGGTTTCAGGGAAGAACAGGCTCGCCCTCGTGGCAGGCGGTGGCAGCAGGCAGGATCCGCGATCCTTCAGCCCAGGGCCACCCTCCTCATCCTCGGGAGCGTGACAGAGAGAGGGTGGGGATCCCTCCTCACGAGTCCCTGTGACTCAGCAGCAACATCTGCCACCAAAAAAGCATCGGAGGATGGCACAGCCAGGAAAGGTTCTGGTGCTGAGACGAGGAGTCTGTGCCCTGAGGACACAGGAGGAGGGTCTGTGCCAGGGGTGGGCAGACATAGGCTCAGCCACACGCCTGGCATGTGGGCAGGAGGTGTCAGCCTCCTGTCACCTGCTCAAAGGAACGCCACTGGCACATGTGACACTTGCCATTGTGCTGGCACTGGTACTCAGTCGCTGGAGATCCCTCACACTATCTGATCAAGGCAGGGGTTCGTGGGAGGCTTGCCCTGCTCCTGGCCATGGGCAAACCTGCCTGCTGCCCACATGCCCGGCTGGCACAGCTGCTGCCCACAGAACCCACAGGCTGGCACGGCTGCCAGGCAGGTGCCTGGTGGCCACCACTGGCACAGACAATGCCACTCTCACTGCCAGAGGGAGGTCAGTTTATCCTGGTGTCTCTATGAACTTGTTATCTCTGTTTTAGAGTCAGTGCGTGCTCTGGGAGAGGCAGTAAATGAAGCAAAAGGAGGAGAAATGTGATTCTTCTTAATGAACAGTAAATCATTTATGTTGGAAGATGCCAGACAAGAGCATTCTGTGCAGTATTCGGATGGGACATAGCTGTGGGGTTTGCCTGGGGGCCTGGGGTGTGCCAGAGAGGCAATAGCACATTTCAGAGATGGAAACCAAGTGCCAGGTTCCCATCTGTAAGCCAGATGGAAAAGGATACTTGCTTTGTTTCAAAATTGTCATGGACGTTTGGAAAAAATGCAGAATTTGGTTTCAAAACAAGGAAAACAGGCACTGATTAAATGCTGGAAAGAGGCAGTTTAGACAAATTTGAGATACTTATTTTTGTACCCAACATTTTTCTCTGTATTAGGAAAGACAAGCCAGGACAGGCCACCAGAAGAGCTTAGTGAAGAAATAGCTTCAGAACTCAATTAAAGAACAGAACTTGATGGTACAGGATTAAGTGCTGGAGACTTCATTGATTCATTCAGTTGCATTTAATCCTGTTATTAAATGGTGCTTGAAGGCAAGTGGGAGATGCCAGCTCAGCACCTATGTTACTTGGTCTGTGAGGACATGCTAAACCCCGGGACCAGAGAATCCCAGACTGAGACATTTTGGTGGTGTTAAAATGGAGATGATGGGGAAAAGTGAATATGTGCACAGGTGATCTTTGGGCCAGACTGATGTAGGAAAGGGGCTGTAAGTGTAAGGGTGAGTAAGTGGAAATGTGAGTCATTGTGGGGTCCAGAGTGATCCCTTTGGCTGAGCTGAAGGGGCTGCAGGGTTTCCTTTTCCTATTGCAGGCTCCTGGGGTCTGTTACATTGGTATTCTTTTCTGAAACTAATCTGCTTGTCTTTTACTTCCAGATAATGATGTTCAGATCAAACATGAATTAGAGGCTCAAGGACAAGCACTGATTCTGCCCTTCAGAGTAGGCATTAGGATCCAGTCAGTTCCCTTGAGCCAGGCTGTCACCAGCACTGCTCCCTGGGGACCCCCTGAGCTGCCTCCAGCACTGGGGCATGGCATGTACCCCAGACACCACTTTGGAGCCCCTGCAAGGGGCAGAGGGAGTGCCAGAGGCTCTGCTGCGGCTACTGCTCTGTCACCTGTGTCATCCTGCTCAGTCCCTGTCCCAGCCCTGGCCCTGATGTTAGTGAAGGCAGAAAGCAGAAGCTTTTGGGACTGGCAGAGGCAAGAGACTGGGTAGAAATTGCTGTGGTTTGAAGGCAACTGAAGGTCTTTTCTGTTCTGTTCTGGTTTTTTCCATCAGTGGAGAGCAGCCCTGCCCACCCTGGAAGCCCACCCTGTGCTCAGGTATGGAGGTGCTGGTGGTTGTCACTTGTGCACTGAGCAGAGCTGGTGTCATTGCTGGACCTGGTACCCAGGGAGCAGGATGGGGCCATCTGTGAATAATTAACACTTCTCGAGTTATTCATGGTCAGCTTTACTCTTGGAAACAAGTTCAGATTTTCCCTGGTTTGCAGCCCCACCCATTTACACAAGGCTCCACTAGTGTTTTGTCCTCTGATGTGAATGGGCTGTGCTCGGGGGGTTAATTAGTGATTTCTGATTGGCAGGGGGGCACTTGGGGCAGTCAGGGCACCTTCTCCAGCAATTTCAGTTTTTCAGAAAGCTCCTCCATCTACAGTGTTCCTGGCAGCAGCACTTAGCAGAATTGGCTCTTGCAGTAGCTGGGAGCTTGTCAGAGAGGGCTGTAGGGATTTGATGGGAATAAAATGATTTAATAACTGTGTTCTTGAGCAGCTCCTATTCCTAGCATTCAAAGGCCTTGCCTGGAATCTTACATGAACTTTGCTCCCCAATTTGCTTTGCTAGGGACATTACAGAATTACTTATTTTCTGGTTAATATATAATTAGCCCAGTAGAGACATTTTGGAAGTTCTAGCTGTAGGCAGTTTTGCTGTGGCTGGGCTGGAGCTCCTGTAGCTATGGAGTGCTTGGTGCTGTCTGGGAGGGATGCAGCTCTGAGAAAGGGGTCAAACAAGCTACATTTCACCTTTCCCTACACACTGAAGCACAGCTGAGACCTTACCATGTTTATATGTGGTTGATCACTGTGCATGAGCCGTAGTCAGAGTGAGTGCCTGTGGGGATGGGAAGCTGGAATTTGGGAGATGAGGTGTAGCTGTAGGGTAGGGCTGTATTGCTCAGGTACCATGTGATATTGGAGCTAAAATAGGTGGATTGTTCACTCAGCAGCTTCAAGTATACTTAAAGTCAGATGGATTTGATGTGTTTGTGTGTTTTCTGGCCAAATGCAGTGAGTTCCTGTAAACAGTAACCCCTCTTTGGACAGCCAGCTGCTGTGTGCTTTTTATACATCCCCCCAAGTCTGGAAGACTTGACCCTGTACAGTGAATTTTTGCTGGGTATGCAGTATATCATGGGAAAAAGTGGAGCAAACACCTGGATAGGAGGCATTTGGCACCAAGGAGGTAATGCAGCTTCATGGGCAAGTTATTATTTAGCTGGGTTTATTTTACAGCCGAGCTGCCTTTGGCACCATGGAGACATTTTGAAAACATTGATCCTTAACCTCGAGCAACTCAAGTCTGAAGGTCCAGGAGCAGGTGCTGTGCTGGTGGCCCAGAGCAAGGTGCTCAGTACAGATAATTGACAATAGTTTGTGTGAGCTGCAGGTTCTGCCATGCTGTCACTCAACAGCTTTCCCTGAGAAGGGCAAGGAAGGTGCAGCAGGATGAGGTGAAAGACCTCTGCAGTGCACTTTGAATGCCATGGTTTTTGTTGCTGAATTTTGCTTTGTTTTAAATACTGGACTTGATTTCTACTGACTTTCTTTATAGAAACCTGTTTTCTTTCACAGGTGTAGCAGATCCCTGCATCTGTTTTTCAGAGGTAGCATCCTTGAATGTACCAGAGCCCCCTGACCCACATGCTAACCTCCACCTTCTCAAAACACAATGCAGATAAGTGCAGGTGTGTGCCCAGACAGGCCCACACATCACCACTTCTCCCTTCCCAGCAGGGACAAGAAAATACCTTACAGAAAATTCTGCCACAGGGTTCTTTTTGTTCTTAATCAGATCAAGGTCTTGGAGGCACATTTTAGTCCACAGGTCTCCTTGTTCCTGCATTGAAGACATGTGTGTTTCTCAGGAAGAGGCATGGGCTGTGTATTTAACCTCAACTTCTTTTTTTGTTGTGTAGCTGGTGTTACTTTGCAGGCTGGGCAAAGGGCAGAGGAACTTGACTCCCCTCTGCTGGCAGTGTACTTCTTTCTGTCTGAAAATAGGCATTAATTGCATATCTTGCCTAAATTATAGTCCAAAGCCAACTGCATCAAAGCACACCACCTTCCCCCTTGTTCTGGGGTTTTCCTGCCTGTTCTGCAGCAGCTGTGAAGCTCACCCACCAATGCACTGGTGGTTTGTTTTTGGCAGGGCTGTGGTGCCATCAGACAGCACCTGGGTGTCTCTGTAACACAAGGGCTGCTCCTTGTTGCCTGCAGTTGAGTGAGGAGGCTGAGCAGCTCTGATGGCAGGTTTCTGCTCCATCCCCAAGCCTTTGCCTGTGCTTGGCCCATCCATTCTCTGAGCAAAGGGTGGTTGCTGGTGCAGGCAATGCCCCTGCTCTCTGATAGCATGGCTAATTATTAAAATGATGCTATGCTTTAATCTGTGATCTAACTACCTTACCATTGTGGTAGAATTATCTGATCTGAGAGTGACATGTTTGAAGCCTCTCCCTAAGTGCTCCTGGCAGACATGCCTTAGCCAGGAGATTAGTCACCAGCAAGGGAGCAAGCCTTGGCAGAGACATGCTCAGCTCTAACTTCAGTGGACAGAGGCTCATGATGCCATTTTTATTTTTTTGAAACCTTGTCTGAGGTTATGAGTAGTTTTAGGTGGAAGTTTCCACACTGGCTCCTATCCTAAGTCTGCAACCACAGCCAGCTACAGTCATGAGGCTGTGAGTGATGGGTGGCAAGTCAGTGGTGCAGCTGGTGGGGTGGAACAGAATTTGGTAACACATCAGTGCAAGAAAAGAGATTTCATTCTGTGTGTCTTCTTACACATGCTTTGTCAGCCCCGAAGTTATAGAGATGCAGCTGTTTTTGTGCTGGCAGAGGTAAACTGGGAGCTGTCCTTAGCTGGGATGGTTCTTTACCCTTCTCATTGTTCTGTTTCACTGGTGGAAGCATCTTGGACCATGGGGAGCCAGCTCCAGGGGTCTGGTGAGCACATGATGGGAGGATTGTACTGGAACAGGTCCAGGACAGCCCCTGAGCTGCACACATGGGCTCCCATCAGGTTTAGCATTGCTGGCCAGAGGCAATGGGGCAGTGTCAGACAGCTGCTGATGCTCTCATGGAGTTGCCTGGGGAGAAAATCACTTTCCCTTCTTTTTCCTGTGCTTTAAGCAGGATGTTCCAGCAGTGACCTTGGCCAAGAAAACAGTGCTGGTGATGGGTGGAAGTGTGGGAAACAGAATTCCATTGCATGGAGATGTGTCTCCAGCCAGCAGCCCCTGTGCTGGACGAGGCTCAGCACAGCACTGGGGCAGTGTCTGAGCACAGAACTTTCTCTTGCAGTGGAACCTGGTGTGTGAGGACGACTGGAAAGCCCCACTGACCACCTCCCTCTTTTTTGTGGGGGTCCTCATCGGCTCCTTCATCTCGGGGCAGCTCTCAGACAGGTAATGCCATGGGCAGGGCACACCTGGGGCATTTGTTTTGAGAGACAAAGGGAGTGAAATGTCCAGTGCTCTGAGTTCTGATCTAAATTATGTTACTGGCCTGGCTTCTTCAAAAATCCCATCCTGGTCTCTCCCAGGTGAAGGATTTCTCCCTCTTGGGCACTTCAGAGCCCAGGGACTGATCTCCACAAGGAGCCCATGTGGCTGCTTTGCAGATTGATGCAGTGGGTTTCCCTTCACAACCCACTTCCCATTTGTTTCTTTATCCAGCCATTTTAGTAGTTTAGAGATGCTGGTTTTGTTGCACATTAACTGATAATTCCTTGCTAGAGCTGCAAGACAGGAATTTGCCCTTTGAATGGAATCTCTGCATAGCAGAGATAGTTTGGTGGAAACAGAGTAAGGACATGTGAGAGGAAGGAAAAAAGTTAACCTGAAAGTGATAGCAGTTGTCATAGCATCTCACTAGATATAAATGTAAAAAAGTCATTACAGACATTTGATAATTGTCTCAGCAGTGTGGAGGTTTTGGCCTTGCAAGTGTTCAATGCAGAATATACATTTCCTGTGCAAATCTCTGCTCCATTCAGCCCTCAGTCCTGTGTCCATAGCCATATGGTGAGATCTCTGGTCCTGCTCTGACTGCTCTCAGGAAATGAGGATGTCATAAGGTAGCAGTGTTCCTCTGGGTGGTTAGTGGAGGGGTTTCAAAACTCACTGGGAGTCTTAATCCTAAAGCCTCCAGCATTAAATTCCATGTGATCTGAATTTAATCTCCTGACTCCTGCCCCAGTGCAGAAGTCAGTTGGTGTTACTGTTTGAAAGGGAGATGAGATAATCACTAAATCCCAGTGGTGCCATTTCCCAGTGGGAGCATTTGAGAAAGTGTGTGTGCCCTGGTGGTGGTGGCAGCACTGCCGAGAGCCCGGCTCATGCCTTCCCACATGAGCCTCCGTGGATTATTTGGGGCTTTTGTCAGTAAAGAGTTGTGATTTGAACCTGTCCCTAAGCAATTTCCCCATGCCTGCCACCCTTTCCAAGTGAAGGGTTGCTGCAGGCAGCAGGTGATGCAGCCTGTGCAGCATCTGTGCCCACGGGTATGAAAACCTGAGCTTGTCCTGCCTCTCCAGGACCACAAGCCACATAATCCTAATGCAGAGAAACAGGTGAGACAAAGGGGGCAGTGTGCCTGGCAACTCAGACCAGAACCAGCTGACAAAGCTATTTAGCACACTCAAAGCATAATGGTGTTGCAAAGTATAGGTGCCAGTAGCCTAAAATCCATCATTTCCTCATTTTCAGGTGTGTGGCTTGCAGTCTGCATGGGTCTCCCTATTGTACTGTTGCCTGGTCTCCTTAATCTCTGCCTAGTGGCTTTCTGAAGTTTCTGCTCATAGCTCTGTTTGTCTTCTGGGTCTTGGAAATTTTAATATTTTTAGTGCATATGAGAATAATAAAATTCTTTAAGATGAACAGAACTTCAGGTTGTGCTAAGATGCATAATGTGAGATTGGATGTTTGCTCTCCCTTGTGCCCTCTTACATAGCCCCCACCATAAATCCATGCTGTTTCACTAATAATCTTTTTCTTTACCAAAGGTTTGGAAGGAAGAATATCCTTTTTTTGACAATGGCTGTGCAGACTGGCTTCAGCTTCCTGCAGATCTTTTCCACCAGCTGGGAGATGTTCACAGTGCTCTTTCTCATTGTGGGGATGGGACAGATCTCTAACTACGTGGTGGCCTTCATTTTGGGTATGAATATATTTGCATTAGATTCAATGTTTGCTTAATGTTACTTTTTTCCCTCTGAACCTGGATCATTTAATTAGACAGTGGTAAATCTGCACTGGTAAAATTCCTACTTTATGCCAGGATGATTGGTTTTTTGCTCTGTGATTCTTCAAGCCTATACTTTCTGTAGGTTTAGAGAAAAAGAAGAGAGCAGGAAGAGTCTAAACAAACATCCATTTCATTCCTCTTTGGAGAAGGCATTTAAAGCAGTGTCCAGGGTTTAGCAGCAGCAGGTCTGAGATACAGAAGGCATTTGGGTTCATCCCTGCCTCCCTCTGCACCCTTTGCAGAGAGGTCAGTGCATACCTGAGTGCAGAGCCTTGGAGCAAAGCAGCAATTTCCAGGCATGATGAGTGTCAGGGGGACCAGAGCAGAGGAGCTGGCTGCTGCCAAAGCCCCATTAGCCATAAAATCATTGTTCTCAATGTTGAGATCAGTGATAAAGACCTAAGTTTTGGAAGATTTTTTTCTTTCTTTACCACAGGGAGTGTAGGAATAAAGACCCAGCAGCTGCATGGCCTGGGGACCCTGCAGGGAACAAGGGACCCCATGGGAAGGGGACCCCACAGAGGCTCCCACTGGACACAGGGGTTTCAGGAAAGGCAACAGCATGGGCAAATTATGGGGATGAGTGATGCACATCTCAGGGTGGAAACTGAGATTTGCTGTCTTTAAAGTCTGTATAAATATATTTTTATGGCTGATTTTAAACCCCTGGTATCAACATTACAATTTGTAGATCGTAACGTGAGCTAGATTAAAATTGTACATTACTAGTTAATGCTGGTCTTTCCTACCCCATGAGGTTTAATGGGGAAAAAAACAGTTGAGAAGAGCATAAAGTGAAGTCAGTGCTATGAGCAGGATACAGCACTGTGTCCCCAAGCAGCCAGGAGTCACTGCTGCCTGTGGCACAGGGAGGAGGACTAAGGTCAGGCTGTCAGCAGGGAGATCCCTTCTTACCATCACCATTGTAACTGTTCCTGCCACTGCTGTCACAATTGCCACTGCTCGCACTGTCCTGTTAGTTTAATCCTTTTGTGGAGCTGATGGAGCAGGAGCAAATGCCTGCCATGGGAAGGCTTGGAGGTACAGCACTGGGCAAAGCTGAAAATCCTTGTGGAAACACATGGGTGTTGTGTAGCACAGAGGTGCAGGTTCTGATCAGGCAGGAATTTAGCTGCCAGCTCCCCTGGGAGCATGGGACACAGCTGGATGTGGATTGGGAGCTCCCCTGGGAATGGGGGGCACAGCTGGACGTGGATTGGGACGCCATCCCTCCTCTGTAGAGTTGCCACAGCAGTGATGGCTCCCAGGGAGCAGAGGGGCACATTCAGCTGTGGTTCCCAGGGAGCAGAGGGGCACATTCAGCCGTGGTTCCCAGGGAGCAGAGGGGCAGATTCCTGGGGCACTTGGCAGCAGTGCTGCCACTCCCCAGCAGCCTTGAGGCTGGTTCTAAGGGCAGGGTTAATCTAAACTAACTTAGACCTTAGCTTCCTCGTTTAAGTGAGCCATCAGCTGCCTGTCATGGGCAAGGAGGGAGGTACTTACAGAGGGTGGCCCTTCCCACCCTACACTCCACAGCCAGGTGTCCCCACAAGCACTGTGACTTCTGCCTGTGGCAAGGCAGACCCAGGAGCTTCCAGGAAGCTGCACATGATAGAGGTACTGAATAGAATATACCCATAAAGGAAAAGTACCTCCTTTAGAAAGCCCATCCTGATTACAGGATGTGCTGGAGATGCTCCCCTTGCTTCAGGCAGGGCTGAGCTGTGCCTGGCAGGACAGCAGTGACACCAGCACCTACAAAGGCCCCATTGACCCTGGCTGTGCTGCAGCCCTGGCACCCTCCATCCCTGAGTGCAGTGGGTCTTTTCCCAAGTTCAGCACAGTTCCTCTTGTCACTCAAACTCTCAGCATCCAAACCTCTGTTGCCTCCCCATGTGCAGCTCAGACCCTGTTTCAGCATCCTTAGCCACCCAGGCTCATGCAGCCCTTTGCACTGTTGCCCACCTTCATGGAAATAGCTCCCCCTGAGCTGCTGGTGAACTTCTGTAGTCAATGTTAGGGTGTTTTCAACCATGCTGTGCAATTTCTCTCATAGCTTTAGTCTCAGTTGTTCTCTGTGCTCAAAACTGTTGTGTTCAGGTTCTGGGGCTGTAAAACGCTGCAGAGGTTTGTGAAGGCATGTTGGTATTGACAAGAACTGTTACTCCATGGCTAGGGGAATGAGGGAAGAGGAAAGGCAGGAGGGACATAATCTCATACTGTCTTTGAATTGACACAAATTATAATGTAACATTTAACAGGCTTAAAACAGTGTTTCAAGTATCAGACCTCTCCCAAGAAAGCCTCTCTAAACAATAGCAAGTCAAGAGGAAGATGGTATAATTTATCCCCACACATTCATTTTAGCCCAGCAAATTCTTATTTTCATGTGTTTTTACTGTGACTTTATTCAGTTACTCCAGGTTTCTGAAATGAGAATTCATTTAGCTATCAAATAGGAGGGTTTTCCAGTCTTGGGTATTTTTTTCCATTTTCTCTGCAATAATAAGTGTTGGAATTCTTGTCATGATACACAGCCCAAGTACACTCTCCACACTTTGTGACCCTCAGTATGCTCAGTGTCATTTGTGTTTTAATTGAGTCCAGATCAAACTGTGGCAGTCATGGCCCTTGCAGCGCTCCTGATGTGAAGGAGAGCTCTGCAGACCAGGGCCTGAGAGCTCAAGGAGAAGTGAGATGGACTCGATGGCTTCACTGCATTCTGCTAATGAGTGGCTGGGTGTTTTATAATAAAAGAATTGAGGTGCTGTGGAAGGCTTAGAACTGAGTTATCGTGACTCGATATTAGGTTGCTGCATGGTGCAATGGCTGTAGGATGCTTTCCCTGACTGCTGCCTGGCTACTGGAACAGTAACATTACTAGAGGATGGCATCTTCCCTGGTTCTGTCCTTCAGCCCCTGATGTGCCCATCCAACATTCCAACCCTCCTTCTGTTCCCAAAAATAGGTGGGAAATTTGTTTCCACCTCACCTGACTGTAAATTCACATCCTTCCATCCCATGCCAGTCTGCTGTGCTCAGACCTTTGCTCTTTCAGAAGTGCCCAGAAGTGAATTTATCTTAAATCCAGATGGGTTAAGTGGAGGAGCAGGATGAGTGTGTGGGGAAGGCTCCTGGAAGTCTGCCAGCCATCCCCCATGCCTGTCCTTATCTGTGTCTGCCAATGCATTAATCAAAGCAAACAGAAGTAGCTTCTTTATCTGAAGGTTCCCAATACTTCCAGCAGCATTTCTGTATAGGCATGTCTGTGCTGTGCTGCTCTTTTCTAAGATTGTTTGGCTTATTTTTTGTTGTTGTTTGTAAATGCAATAAAGTATTTAGTCATGCTTGAAACCAAAGAGTTAAAATGCTAATCCAACCTCCCTTGTTTTAAACAGGCACAGAAATTCTTGGCAAATCAGTTCGTATTCTATTCTCTACATTAGGAGTTTGCATATTTTTTGCAATTGGCTACATGTTGCTGCCACTGTTTGCTTACTTCATCAGAGACTGGCGGATGCTGCTGCTGGCGCTCACTGTCCCGGGGCTGTTCTGCATCCCGCTCTGGTGGTGAGTCCATGCCGGGGCCACGCTCCCCTCCCCTCCCGCCCGGTGCTCGCTGTGCTGGCTCAGGGAGGAGGGGCGCTCTTCTGTTCACCGCGTCACAAGGCTCTGCCTTGAGGGGATATTTTTTGTTTGAGGTTTCTTGCCAATTTTAAGTCGAGTAACTACCTAGAGAACCCCGTTGGTGCTGTGTACTCGAAGCCTTGCTCTTTTTGGCTGGACAAGCACAGAAGAAAGGCAGATAGCAGTGTTTGTTTGCTGCCTTTCTAAAGGGACAGGTGTTTAAAAATAGAAAAGGAAAAGCAAGGCATCACTCACACTCTTAAGTTAAGAATAATTCACAACAGGAGGAGTCCTTTCATATTATTCAGGGAACTCCTTTCTTTTTGCTATCTTGAAAAAGTTATATCTGTAAGTGAGCAATTAGGACCTTTATAACAATTGAGTGATTTACACCCACACTTCTATAGTCTAGAACACCTCCTGCATGTCCCAGTCTTGTTAGAAGTATCTGCTGATGGTTTGTTGGTTAGTTGGGTTTTTTTTTTAAACCTCAGTCTTCAAACCAAACCTTTAAAATGGTTTTCAGCTCCACCTCTGCAGTCATAGGATTTTAAAGACAGTCTGATTCTGTTTAAGGGTCAGTTTGCTTATTTCACTTGAAAGGTTTCAAATTCCTTCCTCACAGCAGCATTTCCCTCTGCACCAAGCAGCTGTTCTCTGGGGAGCCTGGTTCTGGGTGGGAGCCTCTCAGATGTCTGCTGTAAAACAGGCGCTGTGAGGCACAGGAAAATTGTCCCCAAGGCACAGCTTGAGAGTCCTGCTTTGAAATCTATGGGCTGGGAATTCCCAGGCCTTTTAAAAGCTTACACTTAAAAGTGCCAAAAAACTTCCTCTGATGGCACTTTGGGGCCTGTGTGGGGGTAGATGAGGATCAAGGTGCCCTGGCAAAGCTCTGCCAAGGCAGGTTGGTGTTAGCTGGCATTTTGGCATGTGGACCCGCTGCTTCCACGGGCTATGTGATTTACAAATCCCTCTGCTCTGTATAGTTCTTGCTCCTTCACTCATTTCCCTTCCAAATTCTCCAGAAGGTTCCCTGAATTATCTCTGCAGTCTCAAGATCCTCAGCTTGCCCAGTAAGAAGAGCAGTGGAGCAGCTCATCTTACAGAAAGTCCCATTAATGATTATTGATCAGATATAAATCATCTGATGTTTTTAATTATTGACCTGGCTTTGAGTCAGTCTTTGGGGCTCGTCAGAAAAGGAGTGCCTGACTTGCTTTTTTTCCAAGGAGAGGAAAAAGTGCTGCTGGCTAAAGGGAGCAAGATAGCATCTGTTAATACTAAAGGACTTAGTTAAGGAAAGTTAAAGTTTTCTGTCCTGTGCTTGGTGTTAATTCATTCAACGTGTGCCTGTAATTGATTAGAGAATGTCATCAGCTCTGCAAGGGGACACTGCCCCTGCCCTGTGCCTGGGAAAATCTGCCTCAGAGCTGTGGTAACATGGTGAGGTTTGTATATAAGATCCCTATGACACAGAACCTTCAAATACACACTGAGCACATTTCCACATCGTGTGCAGTTTCCTAAGAATATTTTTTATTCACACTGGCTAAGCTGCTCCCATCCTTTTTGTCTATCTGGTGACACCTGGTGGACATCAATTATTCCTTAAAAAACAACCATTGAGGACAAAGGATCTACTTTAGCATGGCAATAGGTCCCATTGTATTTGAATTACACTGCCCACATGCTTCTGTGCTGGCTGTCTCCTGCTGCAAGCAATCTGTGAGATCCGAGTGTAACTCCTATAAATATGTTATTTATAATTTGTTACTTGTGGGGAAACATTGAATCATTTCTTCTGAAACCTATTACAGGATCATTCCTGAGTCTCCTCGGTGGCTGATCTCCCAGGGAAGATATAAAGAGGCAGAAGCTATTATCCAAAAGGCTGCAAAAATGAATGGCATTCCAGCCCCAGCTGTGCTTTTTGACACTGCAGAGGTATGTTCCACACATCCTGGTGCTTTACCTCGCTGGCACTTCCCTGTTTGGCTGGTTGACTTGTTGGGAAATGCCAGCAGAGCTCTTGGGCTGGCAGTGGCTGCTGGCCTGTGGTAAGTGCTGGGTTAGCAAAGTGATCAAAGAGATCAAAGTGACAACCCAGTGGGAGGTTTTATTTGTTTGCTTTTCACAGTAAAACTCTCTTCCTCAGCAGTGGTTTATTGTGGCTTTCAAAGCAAGGGTGACCCAGATTGCTGCATCCTTTGGGCACTGCAAAAACCCAAGGAGAATGTGTTGTGCCCATTTCAGTTTGGTGCTTTTTTAGCAGTTTGCAGTTTAGCAAGAGCCCTTTGCAGGGGCCTGTGTGCAGGACCCTGAACCAGCACCCACACGAGCTGGGTCTGTGTGGAGCCTCAGGGCTCAGGTTGCCCAAACCAGCCAAAGCACCTGAGTGCTACAAGGGGACTTGAAAACCATGACGTGAGTGAAGACAGGGAAGAACATCAAGCTCTTCTTCAAAACTGTGTTTTTTCTGTATTTCATATCTGTTGGTTAAAAGAAGAAAGTCTGGTGAAAGCTGGCAGCCCAGCAGCAGGGAGCAGCACAGCCACAGTGGGATGGTTGGTTCCTGTGCTCATCTCTCCCTCTGCTGGCTCTGCCCTCACAGGAGCTCCTCACAGAGGTTTTTCTTGTGCAAAGACTCCTCCAGCCCTGCGTCAGCAATGACCCTGTGTCTGTAGGTCGGATCTTCCTCTGCTGCCTTATACTGCCACCTTCCTTTTGTGGCAGAGAGAGCAGAAAGCAAAGCACCGTGTGCTCCTCTGCAGTGGCTGCAGGACAAAGATGCTGCGAGTTACCCCTCCCCTGGGCAGGATCCATCACTTGACTGTCACACTTATATTTTGGCTGAAGATTTCTTTCCCAAGTGGAAGTTTTTGTGTGAATTGAAGCGTGTGTTCCCATTATGTGAAGCTTATTCTACACCAGCCATGGAAAAGCACTTCTCTTACTTCACAGCCAGGCCTCGGATGTCTTTCAAACTGGGGATGACTTTTTGGATTGAAGCATTTTATCATTCCTGCATGCTTTCATAAACCAAGGAGACACTCATCTGCTTAATGGAAATTTTGTGTGCCAAAGTGTCTGTCCAAAAAAGCCTGAGGAAGATGTCTGCATGCTAAGTCTCATGTTGGAAGTATTTTTCAAACATTAATAGAAAGACACTCCTTGGAAACCATCATCTATTCCTAGGAAAGGATATCTCCTGGATAGTCCTGTAGGGAGAAGCAGGATGGTTTGTTCTTTGGGCCTGGGGGAAGCCTGGCCACAGGTTCTGGCCTCGCCCTAGCAAGGGCAAAGTGTGCAGGCAGAAAGGCACCCTAATGCCATCCAGAAGATTCCTGATTCAGGCCTCAAACTAGATACTCTATCTCCAGTCTGAGGTGGTGGATGCTCCTGTGATGTGCCCTGGCCACCGCACCAACCTTTCTCATCTGTTCCTCTCCCTGTCAGGGTGCTGGCAGGCAGCAAAACTGGCTGATTTCCTACATTTGTTCCCATCACTTATGAAGGTTTGAGAGAGTTGAATGGACAGTGCAGAGAATGGACAGAACAATGCCTCTGGTACTGAGGTTACTTCTGGAAGTACCGTGTGAGATCCTTAAGGAAACGTTAACTCATCTGCCTGCTCAGCTGATTCTCCTTTCTAATTAATCTTCGTGGTGCAGTGGAAACTCCCATGAGTACAGCTGGGTGCAAGGACAAGCTCCTCTAAGGACTGTGCTCCCTGGCCTTGGGCTGACCACTTATCCCCTGATAGCCATAACTCCGTAACTGCCTGGACTGTGGGTAGCAGAGATTGTTATGCTCTTAGGTGTGTGGGAATTTTTTTGGTTTTGTTTTCCTTTTTCCTTCAGATGCAGGATTCGAAGCCCCAGCAGCAGCAGAAGGCTATCCTTCTGGACCTATTTCGAACCCGAAACATTGCAACTATTACTATTATGTCATTACTTTTGTGGTAAGGAAATGTGTATTCCTAAAGTACCCAGGCAATAGAACAGTTCCTGATTTGAGGGCACGTGCCACGGGTTTAGATAATAAGTCTGAGCCTCGGAGTCGAGCTCCAGTGCTCCTTGGCTGGTACATGGCCCTCAGTGTCCTCACGACCACACTGCATTAACACACAAGAATATGGAGACAGTAGCCTTGACTCAGATGTAAAATAGTTATAAAACTATATGTAACAACTTCTGTATTTTTACGTACATTGTTTGTTTTGTTTTTTTTTTTAATGCTCCCGATCTCTGTAATCTCTATTTGAAGATAAATATTTTTCTTGAAGCAAAGGCAGCAACTCAGTAACATAACAAGAGCCAGACCCATGGCCAGCATTTTTGTTCTGTTCTGTACTGTGCCCGTCCCAGTGAGATTCTGGTCCCTGCCTGGGCAGCCATGAGAAATGAGGACCCAATAATGCTGCATAGACAAAGCAGAACTCTTTCTGTCCATAATCACTCCAGCAGAAAGGAACTGGCTAGCACATTTGGTAAGGCACTCCTGAGATCTGAAACATGAACATCCAGCTCTCTGTGAAGATTAAATAAGATATAACAGAACTGTTGAGGGTGGGAGATCTTGGCACTAGCTGCAAGTAGGAATGTAGTTGGCTTGGGAAGCTTGCAAGAGTGTCATTGCGTTGTTGAGTTCGTTGCAGTGAAAAGCCTCGGTGAACAACTTCCACAAAGCTTTTTACTTGGTGTAGTGTGTGCAGGAAGGACAGAGAAATCTGAGGTGTCTTCAAGCTGCTGTGGATATGATCACTGAATGGGATGACAGAGTTAGAAAGAGAGGGTTGCCACTGAGACTTTTTTAAGCCACAATGCCTGTGGCGGTGCTTTGCGGTATCCTATTTTTGTAACGACATCTGAGGCAACACTGGAGGCATTCAGAGACTGCTGTTTCTGGAATAATTTGGTTTTATTGCTTTTCTCAGGTTTTTCACATCAATTGGTTACTTTGGCCTGTCCCTCAGCACTCCAGACTGGCATGGGAATGCCTATGTCAACTGTTTCCTCTCAGCTGTTATTGAAGTTCCAGCGTATGTGATCGCCTGGCTTCTCCTCCGCTCCCTCCCACGGCGCTACTCCTTATCTGGCACCTTGTTTTTAGGGGGAAGTGTTGTCCTCTTCATTCAGCTGGTTCCTGCAGGTACAAAATAACATGTGACTTAAGTATATGAAACATTCAAAATATGTTACGGTACTGTGTAATAGTACTGCAAAATTACTGGAAACCAGGATCAAATTTAGAATTTGAGGTCAAGTTTATGCTGATCCCTTGCAGCCTTAGGTTGTTTATTTTGCATTTGTATATGCTGAGTCACACTCAACTCTCATTTATTGTGTCAAATTACTGAGCTTTATATAGTTCAGGGGGAACCAAGTTCTAAAATGAAAGCTGAACATGTACTGTGATTTATCTGGTTGTGCTTCCAGGCTACAAAAACCTGCATCCGGATTTCCCTGTGTGTAAATCTCCACAGGATTTTGTGAAAAAGGGGTGGGTTCAAGCTTGTAGTTTATTGCTGTGTAATCCAGAGTTTTGTTCCATTTCAAGAATGCTGTTTTACTTGAAGACAACCAAAATCTGAAACATACAAAACAACCTGAGCATCTACATTATGCTTAGTGGGGAGTTTGGAGTCATCTAGGAATGGGATTACTACTTTGTATAATTAAAATAACCTAAAGCGCCCAACTCATGACCTTTTGGAAAAACACCGTGATACAATCTTTTGGATGTAGAAGTAATAGAGGTAATAAGCACAGGGTGCTGTTTATTCACCTTGATTTTATTTTTTCTCCCCCAGAACTTAATGTCCTGTCTGTTGGACTGGTGATGCTTGGGAAGTTTGGCATCACAGCTGCATTTTCAATGCTTTATGTCTACAGCGTGGAGCTGTACCCCACGCTGGTACGGAACATGGCAGTGGGAGCCACCTCCACGGCCTCCAGGCTGGGCAGCATCATCGCTCCTTACTTCGTTTACCTGGGTGAGATCTCCTTCTTCCTGCCTTGCCCCACACAACTGCCACAACAGAGAAGTTGTCTGGGCTTCTGCAGAGCAGGCTTAGCTTGAAGTGCCTTCACTTGTTGGCTTTCCACTTCTTTCTCTCAGCTTGGGTGTGAGTTCACACATGGTAGAAATTAAGCGGAGGTCCCTGGGCCTCACAGAAGGATCAGGCACTTCATTCCTTTAGGGACCATTCGTGTATCCCTGAAGCTCCAATGCAATGATGAAGTTTATAAACTGTGCAAGCAGAGTGGCTGAAATAATGATCACATCTCAGGGTGCCAGTTAGTTTCCCAGGAGAGTGTGACAAGAAATGGTCTTGCAAGTGAGGAAACGTTGCAGTAGGAAATTCATTGCATGGTACTGTCCCTGTGCATCCTGAGATGGGTATGTTGGCAGGTGGGAATCCAAACATTCCCAGGATTTGTGCTCTCTAAATACATGGAAAAAATACAGGTTAAGTGGCATGAAAGTGTGTTTACTTGAAGTGGGTTCTTTACATTTTTTTTTTAGTTTCTAAGCCAGCCATCTCAGCATTCATTCATTTTGCTTTTTCTTATTGCTCAATATTTCTGTAAGCAGAATTATTAATTTCCTCATAGGCTTTTTTTGACACTCAATGCCATCACATTCTGAGTGCTGCTCATATATTAACTGACAAATATTTTTTTGTTTGGTTTGGTTTTTTGTTTAATACATAAAATACATGTTACTCATGTTGCAGACAGGAAAGAGTGATAGAGGTTAGGGGACTAAGGGTGAAAGTGAATACCTTCTGTTCAATCTGAGGTGCTCAATCTCCTCTTTCTTTCATTCACACATGATTTATTTCCTTCTGCCATTACTGGACCCATGTCAAGCTCTCTCTGCCCCTAATGAGTGTTGCTTCCTGCTGAGATCTTTGATAGAACATGAGCTTGACTTTTCTGGCTTTGACACAACATTGCTGGTGTACTGCTGAGGGGTTCCTGCTGATTCTCTATGGCAGGAAAGTGGAGAGGAGATTACTCTCTGTAACTAATCAGTGTTGACTCACCTCTGCATTCCAGTGTAACTGGAACACACTGTACCAAAAATGATGAAAATACCTTGTCTTAGTTTCATGCTTGTACAGTGCAAATGTGAAGTAAAAGGGTCAGCACGACTGTGATTCTCCTTAAGATCTTCAGTCTCCATTGCAGCACTAAGAGAGAAAAGTAGACAAAATATCATTTTTACTGTTTTGGTTTTTTTTTTTGTTTTTTTTTTTTTTTGTTTGTTTGTTTTTTTTTTTTTTTTTTGTGGATTTGTGGGTCTTTTTCTCCCAGGTATCCATGGGCTCAGTCTTTAAAAAATCTTTTTCCAGACATCAAAATAGTTTCTTAAACTTGAAGAGGTTTGAGGAGAAACTTGTCAGCTGCTATTTGCTACAGCTAAATTAGGACCTTGCCATTCATCCAGCTGAAAAACACAGAGGAGATCAGATCACAAACTTCAGCTCTTTGAGACATACCCAGAGGTCCTCTCTTTAATCTGAGTTTATTCCATACATTATAAAGCACATTGCTCTATCCCAGCTATAAAATAAAGCTGTCAAGTCCAGTTTGGTACTTTCTCTATCTTCAATACTTTAACTCCTAGCTAATACCTTTTCTGAAAGACCTTTTCATTGCTGTGCTGTTGTGACTTGAGGATCTTGCATCCTGCCTAAACAGTTGTGTGCCAGCTAGAGGCTGCTGGCAGAGGCTGCTGCATTCAAGTCCAAAATAATTTTCGGAGTAGGCTAAGGTCAGAGCCTCATGTGTGTCTTGGAAAGCCTGATGTTCTCTCCCTTTGCAGCAAGGAAGGCTTTAAAGCAGTTCCCCATTAATGAGCTCTTAGTCTGGAACTGACCTTTTCAGCTGACTTGGTCCCTTCCCTTCTTTTGCATCAGCCCAGCAGGGTGTATGATCTCAGGCAGTGATTAGTGCTTCACTGCTTACAAGCAATTTTATTCCCTCATATTGTATTATTTAACAGAGGATTTGGTTCTTGATGACAGTGTGGTACTGAAGGCTCCAGCAGAGCTATTGCCTTGCAAAGATGTTGATTATCCCAGTTGAAAATATAAAAATATAAAAACCAACCAAACAAGAAACCTCAAACAAACAAACAAAAAAATGACCCAAACTTTTGGCTGCTACACAAATGTGAGGGTTGGCATAAAATTAGGGTAGCTGTAGCCATCCAAGAGCACATTCTGAAGCTTTAAAACTGAAAAGTCCCTTTGCTGGCAGGTAATAGATGTAATTCAGCTTTGGATTCACCTTTGATATTGATGAATCTTTCAGCTAATTATTCCAATTAATTCTGCATTACAGCAATGTCTGGAATATAAACTTTACATGTGGGTTTGTCAGTTGTGGACATTGAGTACTGTTGGAATGTTGTGTGTTCTGCCAGGTGCCTATGACAGATTCTTACCCTACATCCTGATGGGGAGCCTGACTGTGCTGATTGGGATCCTGACCCTGTTTCTCCCAGAGAGCTTTGGCAATCCACTGCCCGAGAGCTTTGAGCAGATGCTGAAGGTGAAATGGTAAGGCAGCTTTCATTCAGCCCACACTTCACAGGAGTTTAGAACACAGTCCCTTTTCACAATCAGAGAACATGTTTCTTCAGGTCCACTGCAAAACTTCAAAGCTCTCAAAGTGCCCTTCAGATTGTTTTCTTTGGGGTTGTTAATTTGACAGACAATGACATCATACAATTTCTCCAGAATGTCTAAACCTGAGAGCTGATGTGTGCTGGCAAAGCAAGGCTGAACTTCACAGCACCTTGAGGCTGTTGCTTCAGATGTCCAGATATTTTCTACCCTATTTACTCTCCTAAACTCTTTATTTAAACTATTCCTTGAACTATTTATTTAGTAGGATTACATGCATTATGAGACCCTTCATTCTTCCAGTGTAAGTTTTGTGGGTACTATTCTAAATTAAATGCAGGATTTCAGCATTCTAGTCTCTTCCTGGGCAGCCAGAGACAGGCCAGAACAGCTTTTCCTCTGGTTTATGATTTAGCTGAGAGCAATGACAGCTCTCTTGTGCCACCAGCATTGTTATTTAGGGTACCCCAAGCAAATATTAACACTCAAATCTATGCACATCCACCACAGTGTGAGAAAAATTCTTAGAGCAGCAGAGGGAAACTGAATAAACTAAAGAGCAGCTTCATAGCCACTATTCAGCTCAGTGAAAATTTGTATTGGAACAGAATTTGCCCCTGTAAGCAATAATAGCTTGAAAAAGCTATCTAATTCCTGGTCAGCATGAGGAGCTGTCATTATGCTTTCAGAAAAAGAAAAATTGGTGGACCTTTCCTTGAGAAAGGACTTATTGCTCTTTATCACAATTACTTCTTAGATGTCTCACATGAGGCTTTTCAGCTTTGCAGTTGACAAACTGTAGCTAGAAATCCTAGAGTCAAACCAGATGGCCCTTGGAGGTTTCTTGGATGAACAGCCTGAAGTAACTGAGTTATAGTTGCTGAATGATGTTCAAGTTCCAAGCATTGTTTGCTGCACTGCTGCTGCCATCCAGCAAGGAACACTGTACAGAACATCATATTTCATCTTGTGTTTATACTAGCAGTGTAACATGGTTATTGTAGTGGTGCTTGTAGGAGAGGGAAGGTTCTGATCATACCCTGGAGAATGTGCTCAGTCTTTTACTTGCTTTCAGTTTCAGAAATGAGCAACAGACCACTGGCATAAGGAGTTCCAAGGAGAGTCCTAAAAGTCTGATAACACCTTTGTGAAGAAAGACACACCCCTCAGAGGGGCTGAAAGAAGAACAAAATCGTCTCAAAATGCATTTGCTGCCAGAGGAAAATGAACAAAACCCAACTGCACCATAGTTGTTATCCCCTGTGCTGCTGTCCCCAGATTACATGGTATACTGACCAGATGCTGTCTGCTCCTGCAGGACCATTATTCTTCATTCAGTGTCCTGTTCCCTGCTGTTTGTCAGCAGACACAGTCCCCATTGAGAAATGGGGGCCTGTCTGTGCTGAACACAAGTCAAGGAGTAAGCTGGAAGTGAGCCTTAGAAATAACACAGCAGTGACTCCAGGCAGTCAGGTACTCGATAAAAGCTGCTGAAAGGGGAAAAAAAATAGCAAACCTAATGCTGGTGTTTCTTCTCACTTTGTGTGTTGACTGGAGGAAGGGGAGCTGGGTGTCTGCCTTTCAAAACCTGAAAGAAACATCCTGGCCTCCTTTGAAATCTGTGACCAAAGCCCATAGACTAAGTGGAGTCAAAATTCATTTGTAGCAGAGCAGACACAGACTTCCCTGTAAGGACATGGGTTGTAAACGTGCCATCAGAGTGGCTTTAGGTGTCACTTGCTTTTCCCAGGACCTGGGATCCCCATGTTCCTGTAGAAGCTGCTGCTCTTTCATAAAGCCTGAGCCCACCCAAAACCCTCAGCTTTGTGAATCTTCAGTGTCTTTGGGGAAGGGGGAAAATCTTGAGCACTGAGAAAGGACTGTAATTTGCTGACTTTCTGGTGGGTCACACCCACTTTCAACAGAAAAGTGAGCTGTAGCAAATCCATGATCCTGTCCCAACGTGCCATGCATTATAGCTTTCAGGTTTTTCGTGGTATGTGAGCATAAGCAGTTTTTTAGCTCTCTTGGGGTGTTGTTTTTTCTTTTTCCTGAAGTATTTAATTTCTTCTTTGAATATATACCACTTTGTTCTGCACTGCAAAACCTTTGTAGAATTTACAAACTTAAAGGCGATTTGATGCTCACAAAAATCTGATTTTCTGTACTGGATATGTTCACCTGCAGCTATTAAAAATTCAAAAGGACTAATTTGGGACCACGGGGTTTTTTATTATAAAAAAACAAACAAACAAAAAACCCCCCAAACATCAACAAAACCAGTATTTGGTATTCAAATCCTACAGATTATATATGTTTGGGGTTTTTTTGTTGTTTTTTTTTTAAGTTTGGCAAAACTAGACTGGATGAAGATAAATGTCCAGCTCAGAGTTGTGCTTCTACTGTTTTATGAACACTACATTGTTTGAAGAGTGTAATTCCTCTTATTTTTGTATTTATTGGCTGTATGTGCACTTCTTGGTCACTTACAGTCTGTCAGACCTGGTAGACTGATTTTTATTCTCTATAAATAACAATTAGCCCTGATTCACCTTCTGTAAGGGCTAACAAAAGCACAGTGTCTCATCTCTAATGCATGAGTTCAGGGTAGGTTGTCTTGTGCTGGCTCTTGGCACAAGAATGAGGCTCTCCCTGAAGATCAAGCACAAATTTTAAGCTTTATAACAAATGCGAGGAACTTGTGCAATTAACTCAAGCTGCTTTTGGGAGTTGAAACACTATTTTTAATTTCCTGCAGTTATGCTTTTGCCATAAATGTAACATGGCATAAGAGAACCTGTGACTCCTGATCTTCTCATTCCTTCTCAATCAATTTCTCTAATAACAGCAGTATTTAATCTTGCTTTTACTTTTACAGAGTTAATCTAAAGATGTACTGTTTAGATGTAACTGAATTTCTCAAGAAAGTCTTTTTATCAGCATAGGACAGGTTTGAGGACTTGAGTTAAATATAGGTGGTCATATTTTTATGAAGATTGTTATTTTGAGACTTATTTTATGTGATTGTAGGTTTGGGTATTTCTAAAAGGTAAATATTTTTGTACTCTTGAACCTTTCAGTATCTTAAAACCTGTTTTTCCTTTTTTAAATAAGAAAAAGTGCAGTGTTTTTTAAAATACCATGTTTTAACCAGTCTCATTTTTCTTACTTAAACCATTGATTTCGAGCTAGCGTCACACTTTAGTATTTTTTGCAGCAGATTTAATAATCCATCAGGGGAGTGGAATGTCCTTCTTAAAATTATGTGATGTTGTTATAAGGCCTTATGGAGTCTGAGCACAGTGGAAATGAGGGAATCCCAGCTGGATTGTTCTCACTGACACAGGGATCATCACCCTGTGCCTCATCTGTAACCTCTGTCACCTTCACTGGGGTCTCTCTGTGCAACCTTGGATCTCAGCTGACTTGCTGGATCTGCTAATAATTATATAAAGCTGTAGTCATTGTCAGTCATTGCCCTCGGTCTTCATTGCAATAAAAATGTGCACTGACATTGTTTCAACCTGCTTTGTGTGTGGATTCTATTTGAAGAGCAAGTCTCTGAACTTTATTTTAAATAAATGAGTAATAAAATGTATTTAGTGTGGATCAGGCATGGAAAAAAATTCCTGAAATAAGCTCTTTCACCAATTAAGTTCTTCCACACAGGATACTTATGATGATGTGGTTTTACTGCCTTTCAGGTGCAAGTCCCTGGGAGCTGACCCTGGCCAGGCTCAAGGATGATTTTGTGATTTAACTCCTATTATGTCATTCATTTTCTACCTTTGAGATTTTTCAAAGCTGTGTGATTCCAGCCTGGGATAAAAGATCATTGTAAATACAAGTGTTCAAAAAATGGAGGTACACTATTTTTTAAAATCAGTTAGAGGTGGAGAAAAATATCAGCCATAAAAAGCCACTTGAAAATGTGAATTAGCCTTATGAAGAGCAGGACCAAATTTGTGCAGTGATCAGTTCAAAAGCTGAATTGTATTATCTATGGGAGTCTGTGAAGTTCCTGCCAGTACCACTAGGTACTGAGCCAGGATTTTGGGCCTAGGATTAGAATATTATTTATTATTTATTAAATTTATTGTCAAGCATGTAGTGTGCATTGCCTGAGAAAATAGTGTCAGGGTCAGGAAAGCTTTTTTACAGCTTTAGCTGAGCCTGCTGAAGGGACAACGCCAGCTGTGGGAAGGTGCTAGAGTGACACAAGGAACCCTTTAACTCCTGAACTTGCAGCACCTGCCCTGCTTTGATGAGCAGAACACTCCACGAAGGCTCCAGGCTCATACATGGCACTGACCCCAATGAGGTTTAATGGCAGAGCCCCAGGCAGGTTCACAGCGTGCCTTGGGGGCAGCAGCAGCCCGGTCACAGCCCCGTCACCAGCCGGTGGGAAGGGGCGGCCCGGGGGTGCTGAGTGCGGGTCCCTGGAGCGTTTAAGGGAAGACGGGACGTGGCTGTTTGGTCAGAGGTCGGACGCGACGATCTGCGGGATCCTTTCCCACCTCATTGACTAGGATTCATCTCCACCCTGGTTTTTGAATTCTTTAGGCAGTAAATGCCAGATCCGACGCCTGTATTAATGGCCGTTCCTGATCACAAGTCACGAAGGGCAGGGGACCTGTCCCGCAGCCCTGGGCCGGGCGGGAGCTGGAAGGCCGCCCCAGGCCCAGAGCCGAGGCCGGGAGCAGCGGGCAGGGTGCGGGGCCGCCGCGTGTGGCACGGCCGCCGCAGAGCCGCGCTCGGCCTGCCTGAGGCGGCCCCGCCTGCCCCGGCCCGGCCCGGCCGAGCCCCCGCCGCGCCTCCGGGCGGAGCGCCCCGGGCCCGCCTCCGCCGGGCCGGCCCCACCTGCGCGGCCCCGGGCAAACCCCACCCCCAGGCCGGCCCATGGCGCGGGGCTGCGCGGCCGCTCCGCTTCCTTCCCGCGCCACACCGAGCCGCGGGACCGGCGGCCGCAGCTCGGCCGCGCCATGCACGACTACGACGCGGCCACCGCCTTCCTGGGCGAATGGGGCCGCTTCCAGCGCCTCGTCTTCTTTCTGCTCAGCGCCAGCATCATTCCCAATGGCTTCAACGGCCTCTCCATCGTGTTCCTGGCCGGCACGCCCGAGCACCGGTGCGTCGTGCCCCGCGGGGCCAACCTGAGCGGCGAGTGGCGCAACGCCAGCATCCCGCTGGAGCTGCGGGACGGGCAGGAGGTGCCGAGCCGCTGCCGCCGCTACCGCCTGGCCGCGCTCGCCAACTTCTCGGCGCTGGGGCTGCGACCCGGCTCCGACGTGGAGCTGGAGGCGCTGGAGCAGGAGCCGTGCCTGGACGGCTGGGAGTACAGCCGCGATGTCTATCGCTCCACCATCGTCACCGAGGTGCGCGGGAGCGGGAGGGGAATCCCGGGCAGCCCCGGGGTGCCGCGGGGTTATCGCAGTGCCCGTGCAGCTCCGCCGCCTTCTGGGCTCTCTGCCGGCACATTGATGTGCTGCTAAACCCGCCATGCCGAGTTTATTTTGAGGTCTTCTGTTCACTTTCATTTGCATAAGAACGAGGAAGGAAACTTTTATAGTGAGGGTGGTGAGACACTGGAACAGGTTGTCCAGGGAGGTTGTGGATCCCCAATGTTCATGGGCCAGGTTGGATAAGGCCTTAAGCAACCTGGTCTGGTGAGAGATGTCCCTGTCTATATCAGGGACTAGATGATCTTTATAAGGTCCATTCCAATCCCTTAACATTGTTTGTTTCTATAATGAGCTTCCAAGTGCAGCCTGTTTCCTTACCAGCGAAACTGATCACACTGTGCAAATGCTTCTTGGTTCATCAGGTATCTGTGCAAGGGGCTGGAGCAGAGTTAGCACTGGGTTCAGCTTGCTTGGTGTGACAGAGATGTCTCTTTGAACATCAACAGTGTTTGTTTTCTTTCATTAAAACAATAAAGGTGGTAGAACTCACAAAATCACAGGGTGGTTTGTGTTGGAAGGGGCCTTAAGGAACATCCAGTTCCAACCCCCTGGGATGGGCAGGAATACCTTCCATTACACCAGGTAGTTCCAAGCCCTGCTCATCCTTGCCTTGAGCACTGGTAGGGATGGGGCATTCATAGCTCCTCTGGACAGCCTGTGCCAATGTGTCACCCCTTTCACTGGTTGGAGTCACCCCAAGTTGTGCAAGATACATGGGTGGGGAGGCCTGGTTTAAAGCTTTATTCAAAGGACCCTGAACTTTGCTGTGTGCCCACAGTGCCTCTGCTGTGTCCCTGTGCTCACGTGCTGGGACAGGTCATGTTTGTGTTTGTGCAGGTGTACACTGCCTGAGTCAGGTCTGGGGTGTGGGCAGCCTACCAAAGGTGAAGCTGTGCTGATTGTCACTGCTTTCAGAAGATAGCTGTCCAGACAGGGGCAGGTTGACTTCAGAAGCAAGGAAATGGATTTTGATAAGTACTTTTGAGGAATACTTGAATTTCAATACAAGCATAGGCCTTTTTCAGAAGGCTTACAAAGTTTGTACAGTCCCGTTGCCTGGACATGAGTTTCATGGAGCTGGAGCTCCATAAAAAATCTGCCATGATTTCTTGTTTTGCAAACTGGGTTGTGATCGGTGTTTGGGTAGTGATGGGTGTGGGTGCTAAATGTCCATAAGCTGATCTGGGCACAGAGGAAAGGTGGCTTGGGGAGCATGGGAGAGGAGCCATGGCAGCACAAGGGAGGATTAGAAATGGGAACACAGGAGTTGTAGGAAACTCAGTCAAGGGTTTGAATGATTCTGACAAGTGCAAGGCATTGCCTCATCTAAAGAATTGCTGTCTTACTGCAGAGGAAAGCTGCTGGGAATGTCTCAGCTCCAGTGCTTGCTGAATGCACTGTTGTGAAAGGCTGAGTGCTCTCAGGGCAGTGTGAGGCTGTTGGCATCTTCGTGGGCAGGCTTTTCACAGGGGGCACATGGGTGCTGTTTGAGTGCTGTGCTGAGATGGTGATCCTGGCTTAGATGTGCTGCCTTGTCTTTAGAGCTTCACTCAGCTTTGGCTTGATGTTAATTAAAATGTCTTGAGCTATTGGAGTACTGTCCAGGAGTTTTACAATCTATAAGACAAGGGAGCTGCTCACATAGTGCTGAGACTCCCCAGCCCTGGCTCCTGGTCTGTGTGACTTGGCAGATGTCCCATGTCCGTGGGAGGCAATGTTTGTCTGCCCAGGCATCATGCACTGAGGCAGTATTTTTTTTTCTCTCCTCTAATATTA